ATTAACTTTATTTTGTTACCACATTACTAATGTAATACAATCCCATTCATCGCCCTAAAATACCTTGTTGCCAGACTTTTTCACTACCCTGTATATATAGGATCAGAAAAAACAATAATGTAATATAGTCTCATTCATCACCCGTATAAAGAATTTAAAATAATCCGAGTTAAAAATGAAGTAGAAGTTAAAAACACATAGTTTTACTTGTGTACATATTTTGGGTTTTAGAATCTATAATTTCCAAGATATTTAATACGCAAGCAATCTTCAATTACCAGCATTTTTATCGTACCACTTGTGTTTTAGATTTGGATTTTTTTATCAACTAGGAATTCTAGGTACACATATTTCAGTAATAGTAATACCTAATGGGAAATTGTTTACCTGCTAAGGCAAAATTAGTTCATAAAGTATGTAAATACGCCGAAAGCCTAAACGTTCTAAATATTTTTAAATACAAGAATAACCATAAGTAAAATATTTATACAGGGTCGGCATAAGTTAGTTAACGCTATCCGAAAACTGCACTCGTGCAGGTGCACTTCTTCGTGTATGAATTGGGGTGATGAGAGGTGGGAAGTTCAGCAAATGTAAAAACAATAACGGACAATCGTAAATCGTACACTAACATTTGCTGCACTTCCCACCTCTAATTACCTCAATTCAACCACGCACACGAAGAAGTGCGTGCAAGCGCAATATTCGGGTAGCGTTAACTTATACTATAAAAAGTAGGTATGATATTAGGCAGATTGATAATATACTTCACGGTGACGTAATGTGGTGAAAGGCGTGGCATTTACGAATTTGACCTATAGCTGATCGAAAACAACGCGCGAAAATAAATTTTAATTGGTAGTGGCCAATACGAAGGCAATATTTCACACCACAATACGTTATGCGCGAACACGACGAGATTTCGTCGGCTAAGTATCATACCTCTGTTTTTTTTGTATGATGGCGTTAACTGACATGTCGGGCAATGAATAATAATATACCAAAATACGTTTTATGTTGGGAGTTAGACTTACATAACTTTAATATGCATAGGGTCAGAAAAAAACAATAAAATAACATGAAGCATTTAGGACAGGGTATACCGGTGAAAAATTAGAATAAAGTTACAAATTGGTATGTTGGTCCAATTCGATGACCTGATAATTCACTTTCAATTACTCCCGGGTTATCTGGCTTACATTTTTTAGGGGTGAATTTTGAAAAAAAAAAACTTTTTTTTGAGAATGCTGCGTGAGGCTTGCTGAAATGAACAATAATTCTTGTCTAACCTTCATTTAGAGGATATTTGTGATAAAAAACTATTGTAAAGTGTATTTATTCAGATATAATGTGGTTTTTGAAAAATTCCAATACAACACTCCGTTCGGCCCATAACGCTCGCAAAATTAAATTGATGCCAAATATGGGAGCGTGGCCTTCAACAAGGTATGCCTCTCTTCAGCGCGTTCTAGAATAGATAGTAAATTACAAATAGTAGGGTGGTATTCTCGTGAGGTTTTTTGTCAAAAATATCCTCTAGATGAAGACTGGACAAGAATTTTTCATTTCAGATTAGTCGTTTGCGTAGCGTTCTTAAAAAAAAGAAAACCCTCCAAAAAATGCAAGCCAGGAAGCTTGGGATCATCGGGACATTCAATTGGACCAACATACCAATTTTTAGCTTCATTCTAATTTTTCACAGGTAAATGTACTCTATTTCCTGTCCTATTAGTTGTATGGAATTTATATTTTGAACTTTTCATAGGTGTCCAAGACTTTGGCGATGTATAGAAGTTCATATTCTAATTTTAAACCAAATTTTATTTTAGGCGTACGTATAAAAATGTAATCAGTCTAAAACAGGACAATTTTAGTTATGGATGGTTGGATATTCTGGTTGTAAATATATGATTTTTTAAACCAAATTTAGATACTTGTTTCATACTCGTATAATAACTTACTGGGAAGTAAATTTACTTTCTTATTTTATTTTATCATTTATAAAAACCGGTCAATTATTTTATCATTTTCCCGGTAAAAAAAATGTATATTTTTAAATAATAATTATATATAATATTTTTGGAATTAATAATTAATAAGTTTGCGTGTTTGTATGGAGTGGGTAAGGTTTAATCCTCTCATTGTATAATTTTAATGCTGTTCTTAATATTGAAACTACGTATTCGAAACACATTTTTAACCAAAAAAATGTTTATTTTACGGATAGGTATAATCTGTGCCAACAAAAAAAAACAAACAAGACGAAAATACATTTTTTAAATTGTTCAAATTCTCTCATGTAAAACTATTTTTAATCAGACTTAAGTATGTAGTTTGGAAATTTGTCCATCTATATATTTATTTCCTAACTTGAATGGATCTACAAATTATTCTAAACATTTTGAAAAAATAAACGGCATTGACGAAAGCAGCTGCTGTTTTTTTAATACCAGTTCTTAAAGTATTATTTGGGTCTTCTGTAGCGTCAGAATGATCTGGGTTGCAAAACAAGACAAAATTGAGGTCACTTTAAGAGTACACCCAATGAAATAGCATTAGGACAAGAAAAAATAAAAGAATTGCTAATGGAATTAATCTAGCACAGTATCAGTACTAATGAAAATAGGTAAAATAAATTTGGTATAATACAGATAACCAGACTACTCCTAAAACAGAATTGATTTAAAACTGGTTTAGAACCAGTCTTACAATGTCTTGAATCTTAAAATAAAGTTACTTATATTTTTGAATTGGTATAACTATGTGGAGGAGGATAAAAAAGGCTACACGCTCTTCAAAAAGGTTAATCGATTCTTGGGTTCATGGAACCAGAACTATTTCCGGTATTTCAAAGGGTACTTTAATGCTCTAGGACTAAAACCTTCAATATACATCTGCTAGATCGAGGAATGTATCACTGATGTTTGAGAAATGATAGGATACAAAAAAGTCTAGATGATGAAAGTAGCTATAAATTAAATAGGGAGAAGTTTTTCGTTGAATCAATTTCTTACCATGGTTCTATTAATGGTATCATCAAAAAGATTTAATAAAATTCTATCACCAAATTTCACGATAGCTGCATGTTTCATATATCCCGAAAATTTTAGCAATTTCCTTAAAACAAATTGGTTAATTTGAAAAATATTCAAACTAATTTTACTTGTTATGTTTTAATTTTTTATTACTAAATATTAAAAGTATTTAAAACAACTAAGGACGCATTTCCTCTTGAACAATAGGTACTAAGCCTATATATGTACCTATCCTGATGATTTGTAATTTTCATTAGGAAACCAAATATGCCCAATTTCATAGTAAAAGTATTTTTATTTAGATTGTACCCTTCGTACGGAGTAAGTCACATGTATATTGTTTTCTATGTTATTTTCTGTATCATTTCAATCTTCTCATCAAAACTAACAGTGTCCTATTAGGTTTTCATTGGACCGTACGGCGTACACTCGCTTATCTGTACTATGCTAATCTCACTTTATTTTGAACATCTAACATATTAGACAAAATTAATGCATTTTGACACGACTATTTTTTGAATTTTTTTAATTAGTTTAGAAAATAAAAAAGAATATTCTTTTTACATAATTACTGTAGATTATTCTGTAAACTTGACTTGACTCAGCAAATCCAATTTTTCCGGCAGGTATCAATTTTTTTCTTTGACACGCCTTTTTTCGTTTCAATTCCTTGTTTTTTTCCGTAAGTACCAGAAGTGTTACCCTCACTTGTAAATTTTTGTTAATCGAGACATTTTATAACAAACAAAATCTGCGTCCTTTTTTATCCTCTCCACGTGAATCCTCAGTTTTTTAACCGACTTTAAAAAAATGAGGAGGTTCTCAATTCGTCGTAATATTTTTAAGCTATTGCATAGCTTTTATCGCAGGCTTTGAGTGCGGCGACCGAATCAATAAATTCCGTAACCGTAACGAAAAAAACCTAACACCCCCCACTCCGACCGGCACAGCGGTGCGGCGTTAAACAATATTAACTTCTCATTTATTTAATTAAAGAAAATCGAAAAATCGAAAAAATCGAAAATCGAAAAATTGTTTTCTTATCGGTCACCACGCTCAAAAAGTGTAACTTGAATTAATATCAAAGAAAAAACTTGAAATAATATCAAAGAAAAAAAATACTGCATAAATAAATAATTATAATTGCATAAGTTGATTAAAAATGCTATGCAATAGCTTTACCCCGGCAGTCCCCGAGTGCCACAAGTATTTTTTATTTAAATAGCAAGAAGTGTTTCACACTTCATTAAAAAGGTAATTTTATGGGGTATTCAGCAATATGATTCGATTGCACTTCTTTTTATTTTAGCGCCCTCTAGCGGGATAAAAAGCTTAGATATTCTAAAGTGTGACACTTTATTTGAAAGCGAATTTTATTATTATTCAATGCACCACATAACATTGTCCTAAATATCTCCATATTGAACTTGCAACAAAATAAAGTTAGTAATACTGCAATATTTTTTTTAATTTCAAGATAAGATTTAATTTATTTAAAATAATGTTGTGTATTGGATTACTAGTAAAATAAGCTTTCAAATGAAAGTGACATTCTTTATAATACGTAACAGTTTTTTGTTATAAAAAGTAACGTAGTCAACAGTCATATCGCTGAATTTCCCATAAAATTACATTTTCAATAGTCCCATCAGGGGGTGGGGTAGTAAAACACAGTATATTGTTTGCCTTCTGATATTTTAATTTTTATTTCGGTCTAGTGTTGGTTTAATACTACGTAAAAAACTGAATTGTAATATTTTTGAAAGCTTTTAAATAACTGACGATGACCTACCTTCAATCAGAAACATCTACGAACATATCCTGCAAAAAACACTACACCACGCTAATATACGTGAATAATATAAAATATTACAGATCGGCTTCTACAATTTTATTAAACCTTTCAAAAATAATAAAATTTAAATAGGTACCTATTGTTTATTTATTATCACTATCATTAAACAGCAATACTTCGCAAGAAGATACCGAAAAGATCGACGAAGAAGATTTAGAAGATGGAGAGATCGAAGATGACGAGGAAGATCCGGCTGAGCAACCCGCCGAAATTCCCCCCGTTGAAATTTCGATTCCAGCTCCGATTATTAAACAACTTCCACCACCCTCGCCTCCTGAACGTCCTCCCCCCTTCTGTGGTCCACCCCTTACCTCGCCCGAAATCGTTGTTCCCGAAAAAGAAAAAGACAAAGATAAGAAAAGAGACAGATCCGAGAGGTCCGAGAAAAGGAGACACGACGAAAAGGGGAAGAAACACATGACCGAGGCGGAGAAGAGTATATTACATTTAAGGAAGCGTGAAGAAATGCAAAGGAAGAAGTGGGAAAAAATGAGGAGTAAAGAAACACTGATAGAATCAATAGGTAAGAATTTTATTTTTGAATTGGTGTTGTCTTACAAACGGGGGTTTATTATTTATTCTCATTATTGACGAAGTTTTATTTTGAATTTATTAAATTAATAAAAAGGTGTTTTTTTTTTCTTGTCGCAGATATTAGTTTTTTTATATATTTTTTTATAGTTTTTAGTTTTTTTATATATTTTTTTATAGTTTTTTAGTTTTTTAGTTTTTTTATATTGTTTTTTATAGTTTTTTCATAATTTTTTTTAGTTTTTTTTTTATTTTATTTTTTAAATCAGGAAGGTTTAGATATATACAAGCGATTCAATGCCTAATCCTTATTGCCCATTACATAGTTCAGCATAAAAACTTGCACTTTGGATTAATCACGTTTACAAATAAATATCGAAATTCACTAAATTATATAAAAATAAAATACATTTTTTCTAGAAACAAGGTTACTTATACTTTTTTACGTAGGTACAATAGGTACGTCTTTTTCAGATGATGATTTTGCTAAAAATATAGAAAAGACTTTAGCGACAATATTAAATAAGAAGGAGAAAGAGGCTGCAGCCCTAGCGGCCCCGGTTGCGGGCGAAGAGGGTTTCAAAGAAGAAATTCATAAAAGCGAGGATAAGAAATCGAGAAAGCGAAGAAGAAATGAGAGAGATGGCAGGAAGGTAAGAAAAAAATTATATTTACCGGGGTAGATTGCGATGTTCTAAATTGTATGGTGAATCACAGTGAGGGTATTTGGAATAAAAACTGTTTCATTTGATCTAACTTTCATTAACTTTTTCTTCACATTGCGCCAGTGATGACGTCACTGATTTCAGTATATCTCACATGGTAGTACTGAACATTTCACTGACATTACTCAATTTTCAAATACAAATTTAAAGTAGTTCCTGTATTATCTAGTACCTGTATAGTTTTATTGGATTAGTCGAGTACAATCCTGGAATTAAATGTGTTTTTGCCATACATATGCAAATATTTTTCTGAAATGAAAATAATGCGCTATATTAGTGTGACGTAATTTTTATGTTTCAATGACAGTTAACTTTTAACAAAAACAAACCATGCTGTCATTGAAAATGATATGCGTTTTTAGTTTTTTCTTTGAGTTTTTTATTATTTAGTTTACTCAAATTTAGAGTTCATGAACAGTTTTTTCTTTGAAAATAATAAAAAAATGACGTTTTTCTTCTGTAGATCGGTTATTCCTGTCAAATTTGACATATTTTTAAAAACAAAATAACAAATTAGGTTATTTCTAAAAATGTTAAATGAAAAAAGTTTGTTTTTCGGTTTTGTACCCATCTACCACATTTTAACGGATTTGGATAACTTTGATTTTTTTCGCGTTTTCTTAACCTGTTAATTTTTTGGCTCATTATCGATATTAAATATAATTATAAATGAGTGATTCTTATGAAGAATCGATAAATAATAATATTCGTCTATATTTATTTCCGAAACTGACGCGTTATAGAATTACGTTACCTTTAAAGTAAAGTAACGCGTGTTACTGCAAAGTAATAGGTAACGAGTTACTTTCGAAAATATATTATTAATATAAAGTGTAGGTACGTTTTTACATATTTAGATTTAATAGAATAAGAAAGGAAACACATATATTATTTGTAAGTGATACTTTATTTTCTAAATTTTTCAATTATTCAACAGTAAATATAATACCTTTTTACTTATAGACCGTCAGATAGTGACAGGTTTAGGTGTCCAATTTTTTCATACAAGCCTCGAATGTATAAGTGCATTTTGGGGTCGTAAAATTTTTCTGATAAGGAAAATCGAATTTTCGATGTGTTATCCCCAAGAGCCACTCGTAAATTTTATTTTATTCTACTAAAGATCGATGTACTTTTCAACCCTCTTCGAGGCTTGTATGCGAAAATAAGGCACCTAAATCGGTCACTATCTGACGGTCTATTAACAAAATAACATTAAAAATAAAATATTTCTTGTGGGTTAAAAATACCTACCTACGCATTAAAATTATTAGACTAATATGTCAAATGGTAACCTAGCGACAGTAGCGACGTCGAAATAAACCTAAGATAATAAAGTAAAAAGTACAAACTCTAAAGTAATGCCTATGAAGACTAGAGATAAGGAGGCGAATCGGCATACTCAAAATACAGTAGTACAGCAAACACATATCAATGGATGTTTTGTCTGCTGTATTACCTACATTATTTGCTCTTATAACATAACACTAATATTATATAAGTATAAACCAACAATTTTTCACTTTACATTGTTACCTGCCAATTGTCAATTCTGTTATATGCCTGATGCTGGCTTGTTAGCCGAAACTAGTTGCACCTAATTTCATTAAAATATGTATGTGGTATTGATTTGGAATTTTTGTTTATTCATTTGAATTGCATATATAGCATCTCTGATAGTATTCTTCACATATTCTTGGCATTAAGTTACTGCATATTATTTAGGTATTCAACTATAGACGTCAATAACAAAAAAACCCTTACTTCGGTGTAAGAATTTCGACCACGTGACCGGATATTTACCTTTTTCAACGAAATTCGAAATTTATCTTAAACATGTTTAGGATATATGAATAAAAGGCTGACTGAGGTAGAACCACTGAATAAAAATGCTTGCAAGGGCAATACTCTTATCTTATTTAAGAGTCATACAAACATTTTGAGAGCAATTAAACCACTTTTCGACTTTTGGTTCCGATTTTACATCTATTTTAAAAAACAGGTAATTTTTCGCCTGTTTGCAATATTTTTTTTCATATCAGCCTTTTCGTCGACACAAAAAATGCCTTCAATATCATTTTAGCTTCAGAAAATCGCGTTTAGATTACATGCCGAGTTTCGTTGAAAGCGGTAATCTCTACACCGGAAGTAGGAAAACCGGACGACAGAAAATGCTTGCCAAGATTTTTTTTATTGTTATCCATCGATAAGCAACTTTACTTTAAATTTGACAGATCACATGACAGCTCCCACCACCGGGACATAGTACATGTTTTCATCCCCTTCCACCGTACCCAACTATTGTACAAATAGCAAGCAAAAAGACGACGTGCCACTTTTTGCAATCAGATGAGGAACTATAACGTAAATACCGTTACTTTTCGCCAATTTTAAAAAGTAACGAAATTGCTAGTAACGCGTTACTAAGTTACTGACAAGTACTGTTTTAGTTTCGTTACTCCAAGCTCTGACTGGAACACAAATTATGTCATCACCACTTCATTGGTCATCACTAATATAGCGTATTCCTTTCTCCCCTCTCTATTTCTATGAATATGACGAGTTGGTGAAATAATTTCGAAAAAAAAACGAGTTCGAAAATCAAAAGTTTGGAACATTTTTCGAAAGTATAAAAGTTCGAAACTACAAAAGTTCGAAAGTGAGAAAAGATCGAACTTAGAACAAATGATCTAAAGCAGATATCATCGAAATCAGATATGATCGAAATCAGATATGATCGAAATCAGATATGATCGAAATCAGATATGATCGAAATCAGATATGATCGAAATCAGATATGAACGAAATCAGATATGATCGAAATCACATATTATGTTTGAAAATACTAATGATCGAAATTATTGGTATAAGATCGAAAGCATTGTATTACGAAATTAGTTAATTAGTTTTTGTTTAATTTTTCTTATTTTATGTATACTTTTTTTTATGAAGCAACCTGGGATGGCTCCAAGCCGCACAGGTTAGTTTTTTTTTGTCTCATTTTGTGAATAATGTTTCTATGAACCAAGTCGCGATGGCTCCAGGCCGCCCAGGTTAGGAAAATTAGTGGCATTAATGACACTCGCCATTTATTTATTTTTGTTGTTTTTTTTTTATTAAAAATACTAGAAAAATATTTATATTTTCTTTAAAATAGTCAACCTTCCGAGTTCATGTGTAGAATTAGAGCACCCCCACTATGATAATACTATCAAGTACTGTACCCTTTCAGTTCATATACGTTCAATTTTTTAGTGTTAATATTTTTATTTTTAAGCATTTGAAAACACATAGCTACTCTGTATATTGATGCTACGTGTAGCCTGGAGCCATCGCAGGTTGCTTCAATTTCAACTTTTTGTTGTTCGAACTATTTCTTTCGAAATTTTATAATTAGAAATTTTCTAATTGGTACTTTTGTTATTCGAACTTATTTCACTAACTCGAAACCGACAGACTACTGTAAATTAGTCTGGGGTGGCGCAGAGGGATCAACCCTCGTACTGTCATCACATTATGAAATTAACGGTTTTTATCGAAATAAAACATTTTAATGCCCTTGCAGAACAAGCAACGCAAGCTGGACTCCCCGAAATCGGAAATAGACGAAAATGAAATGCTCAACATGCGCGGCGGCAGTCCGAAGATGGAGGAAAGAATGGAGGGAGCCGCACATTCCGTACATTCAGAAGAAAGTTACGAATCGGAATATTCTTCGGATCCTAATAGAATAGAGCAAATGGAAGAGCGAGAACGTGAAGATAATACAGCCAAGAGAAAGAAGAAGAAAAAGAACAGTCACAGTGGCAGGGATAAGAAGAACAAGAGCAAAGACAGGAAAAAAGAACAAACTCCCTTGCAAGATTCGAAGGGGGTTTGTGTGTTTTATTTGCAAGGAAAATGTCAAAAGGTAAGAATACTCTATATGCTTACCGTCATACAAAGTTCGTTCAGGATATAAATTTAACGTACGAGCCCTATAACTATATGTTCTTACTTAATGTTAAACAAATATTTACGCAACCAGTTGCGTAATGTTGAACATTATGAAACTGGTTACGAAATAGCTATTTATAAAACCAGTTGCGAAATACCTTATTTTATGTAATGAGTGAATATTTGCGAGACGAGCAGAGTGAGGCCCCGCATCATGAACGAGTTACATAAAACGGCACTTCGTTACGTATTACATACAATATTTTTTCTAATTTTGACTAAAATTGAGTTTTGGTTAAACATTACTGACATTTAGGCAACCAATATTACTTACTTGTATTGTTAGTTGCATATGCATAATTTTATTGATAATTAGAGCCACGATTAGAACATCATTATTAATTATTTATTCTCAACGGCTTGCAGTGTGTTTATATTGTTTATTAAAGTTATTTAGTTTTCAAGTTTATATTGTTTATTAAAGTTATTCAGTTTTCAGAAAAGTGAGTTATTTTGTCGTGTATTGTGTTTTAATTATTTTGTGCTGATTTGGACTAGAAAATAAGGACCAAAACATTATTACTAGATTGTAAGTTTAAACAAATTCTATTTTTATCACTCAACCGGTCCTTCTTTGATATATATAAACTTTCAATAATAATGTATATTATTTCATACTGTTGAACATTATGCAACTGGTTGAGTAAAGTAGATTATTTTGACACTTGCGATTACAAAAAATGTCACTATATATGTCAAAATTATAAAAATGCATTATGTCGCCAGTTGCAAAAGGAAAACAAATTAAAATAAACCTGTTTTGGTTTTTAAATCAATATATACATTATTATTGAAAGTTTATGTAAAAGAAGAGCAGATTGACTTATAAAAATATAATTTGTTTAATGTTAAAACTTAGTAATAATGTTGTTTCGGTTTTTATTTTCCATTTAAAATCAGCACAAAATAAATAATAAAACACAATACACGACAAAATAATCCACTTTATTGAAAACTAAATAAATTTAATAAGCAATATAAACATACTAAAAGTCGTCGAGAATAAATAATGAATATGATGTTCTATTTGTCAATAAAATGATGCCTACCACTAACAATACAAGAAAATAATATTAGTTGCCTAGATATCAGTAATGTTTTACCAAAACACAATTTTATAAATAATCTAGTCAACATTAGAAAAAATATTGTATGTAACACGTTAAGAAATTCCGTTTTATGTAACTCGTTCATGTTGCCGGACCTCGCTCTGCTCGTCCCATAAATATTAACTCGTTACATAAAATAAGGCATTTCGTAACTGATTACATAAATAGCTATTTAAACTGTTCTTTTGTCTAGTCACATAATCTCTACCAAACATAAAGTATGATATCTTACGGAATTACTTTTTTATTTTGCATTAACTACTTAATAAAATTAGAAAAATATGACAAATTAGCTAACAAATATTCGGACGCATTTAAATCTTACCACTTAAATCGCACATTAATAAGAAGTAACATCATCTTTTGCAGCAATAACGACTTGTATGCGTTTTGGCCTGGAATCTACTAAACTCTCGAAATATTCGAGGGTGAAAGAGTTATAATTTGCGTGATTTCCTTTGGGTATAGTATAAATAAAAATTAAGTATTTGTTTTTACTTAAAAATTCGTAACAAATAATGCTTAATTCCCAAAAAATAAATTGTTTAACTTGAATTGGGAAATACTAATTATTTGATAAAACTTCTAAGAACATTTATCAGGGCCAGAAATTTTATTTATTGTAAAATAGGCATAATTAGTTACCTATTTTTAAGTAAAAGCAATTACTTAATTCTTATTCACACTGCCTAATTGTTATATTTGGGTAACGATCCTTAGAGTACAGTTCTAGAATTAAAGGCAAAAGTCGTCAGATAGTTGTTCGGGCTCGTATGTCTAATGATACGGCTGAATGATATTTCTTTTTTTTTGTTACAGAACGATTGCCCATACTCCCACGAAGCAATTCCTCCAATGAAACTCGAACTGTGCAAGTTCTACCTGATGGACTGTTGCGCTAAAGGTGACAAATGTTCATATATGCATTCTGAATTTCCTTGTAAATTTTACCATACAGGTTTGAACTGTTCGCAAGGAGACGACTGCAAATTCGCACATGGCAAGCAATTATCTGAAAGTAAGCATCACTCCGCTAACGAACTAACCCATTAACCCAAATACCGAAGAGAGACAACCGTCCTTGACTAGAACGACGACTGGCCAAAACATTATCGGAAAGTTTAAAGGTCCCTTTCCGAATTTGATTTTTTCGAAAATTGTTTCTATATATCAGATTATTAACCCATACAAATAATAGTGCCAAGACTTTTCATTTAAAAGTTCAACCACATACTTTAGACAAGCGTTTCTTCCCTGATGATCACTCAGAGGTTCCGCGAAACGTACGTGGTTTTTTTTATAACATTGAAGAAAACAACTTAAATCAATAAAAATTAACAACTCTATGAAACTAACAAAGTAGATAAAACAAACAAAAACACGGCCTATCAAGTCTGGTAAATCAAGCTGGTTCTAATTCATCTATTCAAATTTCAAAATAACGGTCAGCGTCTCACTCTATAGGGTATCCTTCTGACAAAGTTGTAAATCTATGTTAACTTAAGAAATCATAGACACTTCCAATCTCATTTAAAATTATTTTGAAGTAAACAGAGTATTTCCGTACGTTGTGACAGCCCAAAATTATATTTTTTATGTGAAATACATGTATCTTTTGAACTAAAATAGTAAAAATACTTTTTTTGCTAGAGCAAATAATTTTAATGTGGAACTTAGAAGTGCCTATGATTTATATTTAATAGATTTTTCTTATTTCTCTTAATATAACGGAAATTTAGAACTTTGGGACACCCTGTATTAGAGCAGCCCATCCCTTTATCACTTTTACTTCATTTTACCGATAAGAAGGATTATGAGCTTAAAAATAACGGATAACTGCCAATCGGAAACAATTTTCTGGATAAAAATTAATTTTGCGAAGACAATTTTGAACTTTCCTCCTCCCACCGCATCTAACAAACTAATACCAACCCCGCCCGATCACAATAAGTATACCGATCCTTCTTTCGTACCATCGATACTCACTCGCACCGTTTCCAGGTCTCAAACAAATCCTGTTCAAGCACATAGAGACGGCGCCTCGCGAAATTTTGGGGGGTTTTCCGCGGATGAATCGCGAAGAGGCCCTCAATATGATCAACATAACGCAAGGTAAACTCCAGGACCAGGCGCAAGGCGTGGAGAACAAACCGGAAGTTAAAGGTGGGATACCATCTTTGTTTGATATTAACGTACCTGTACCCCCTGAGTTGTTGCAAGGATGTGATGGTTAGTTTTGGTTTTTTTTTTTTTTTAATCATCGGTTTTGTTATTTTTATATTTATTTGTATATTTTATTTTTCGGTTACCCGCTAATCTAATTGGATCGTTATATCAGGTGCTAACTCATTTGTATTTATTTCGGTTCCTAAAACCTTTTTTGAAGATTCCGACAATGACATTCATATCATGGCATCTCCAGTCATCGGGTGTAAAGAATGGCGGAACTTTTAACCTTTCGAGATTCATTATTGTATGTGACGGGAAAAGATCTTGGTAAATTGATTAAAACGTCAAAAAATCAATGGGGAAGTTGCGAAGATCCAATATACTCATATATTATTGATTATTGTTTTTTTTTAATTTTACTACATTTTATCTTAATTTTTTATATATTTTGAGTTTGTTGTGAATGGAACCTCAATATTTATGATACAAAAAATACTACCTACGCCATCGTCTAAAAATAGATAAATATATAAATTATTTTATTTTTATAGACTATGATTTTGCATGAATTATTTTTCTAATTGGCCAATTTATAGATATCAAAAATAAATTGGACAAGGCCAATAGAAATAGACCATCCAGGTGGCAGGACCCCGATCCCATCGCAGACAGGGAATTCCCATTGAAACCTTTTAACTACGGCCAAGATCAAGACATGCGAATAAACAGGTAAAAGTCTTACATATGAAAATAATGTACAGTAGCAAATGTAAGGAATACATTTATTATTTTGTAACTAGTTTTTGTAATCTTTCTTTCTAGTGACGGCCTTCATCAAATTTAATATTAATATGTTTATATTTTATAAATAATTTTTGACTTTTTATAAACCTCCATTTTTTAAAATTATTAATATAATTGGATAGATTCAATACGACGAACTCTCAGGGGTTCCAGATTATACCCATTTGGGACCATTATTGTTTAGATTTGAACTATGGACCATGTGGCCTCGCCCTCGACATTTTCACATCTATTGTGGATATCCTTTAATCGTTATTTAGATTACCTTGTCTAATTCGGAATTTTGTAGTTGACTCCATGGACTAGGAAGTAGTTTTTTCGTTACACACTGGCTACTCCTCAACTTCTAGTTTCTCTCTGCTTCTGCTATTCTGTCTGCTTCTTCTCGTCCATTGGCCAAAAATATTTAATGCTGCTCTGTCTCCTTTCACGTCCTTGCTATCTGCTTAACTAAGATATATTTATTTGAGTGTTTGTTGTCCCATTGGTTTGGGCTATAAAATTTGTTCATAACGGCACTCTATTATTCCGAAGTCCGCATCAATAGGAAAATAATAGTGTCCCGATACCAAGAACTTGAGGTCTAGTATTCATATTAATGTCAAGATCTTGTACTAGCTTCTAAATTCATTAACATTAAAACACCCAACTAGACAAGTATGTCTACGTTTGATTTAAATGTAAATATATAAACAGCAAAAGTAGGTTAAGAACTTTGTCAAGAAAGATTTACTGGTAGAACGTTTTTGTCTCGCCGAGTTATTTTAAATTTTTTTAAATGTTTCAGCAATGGTGACGTTGATATGAGAACCTTACCGCCTTCGCTGGCAAACATAACCACCTCGAATCTACCCATATCCAGCAGTATCATCGAAAATCAAGACATAGACTTCGAAAGATACACACGCGAAGCCGGTATTCTTCAAATGCCCAAACAAGATGTGGACATTCGCTCTAGCAACCTCCTTTCCTTTCCCTCGGCAACTAAAGACATTGACATTAGACAACAACCATTGTTGGCAACCAAAGACATAGATATAAGGCAAATACCCCTAGTGTTTAATCATCCCATATCTTCGGCTAGTCTGGACAACGATACCGAAGATGAACTTCAAATCGATACTGGCGATGATAAAAAGGAAGAAACGTCGCACATGCCGGTGGATCTTCCGAAGGCACAGCGCGATTTATTCTTGAGGATACAGGCCAACCAAAAAGACAACGTTGTCGAGGCGCAGAGCAAAGAAGGATACGAGATGGACGAGAATATCAATTGGTATTCTGACGACGACGATGATGACGACAATAGACTGACAATTAAAGTTGACAACGAAGATACCAAAGACAATAAGGAGGAAGTTCTCGAACCTTCCAAGGAAATTAAGTAAGTTATTTGGAAATTGTCTTTTAATATATTCAACTATAATTCACTCTTTTTGTTTCAGCGATTTTTTGACAAACCCTCCGGCGATCAAGCCTCAGGACGTCGTCGAAAAATTGGGAGATCTATCCAAAATTGATATATCGGCGGAGGTGACGAAGTTGCTGACGTCTATGAGTCAAGGCCATGCGCAATTTCCGTTTACTAAAGGACCAACGACTCCACCTGAAATTAAGCCTGTCGTTACGGCACCCGTTAAAGTCGTCACGGATCCGAGAATGTCTGCTAGACAGGTATGAAGCGTTTTCATTCATAAATAGAAAGGATGGATTATTTTAATGATTACCAAATGTTAGTTAATTTTTTATTTTTAACCGACTTCAAAAAAGGAGGAGGTTATCAATTCGTCGCGATATTTTTTTTTTATGTATGTTCAGCGATTATTCTTTAACACGGTGTCCGATTTCAATGATTCTTTTTTTGTTAGAAAGGGGGTATTTCAGGGGTGGTCCCATATAAATTAAGTCAAAATCTAATAATTGGATCCATGAGAAAATCCTCAAACTCTTCATTTTTTATATATGTTTAGCGATAATGCTTTACCACCTTGTCCGATTTATATGATTTTTTTTTTTTTGTTAGTAAGGGGGTACCTCAGGGGTGGTCGCATATAAATTTGGTTAAGATGTGGTGATGGCATCTGCACGTTTTTGAAGTCGGTTTTTTTTAATTTTTAATTTCTAATACTTGTATTTATTTTTTATAATAATCTGTCCCATTAATTTTTTTGTGAATGGCGATTATTCAAAATGTATTTTTTTTGCAGGATCCCAGAGTAAATTCAGAAAAGGCCAGCGATTCGCCTCGTTCTGATCCTAGATTAACGGTTGATCCCCGACATAGACCGAGACAAAGTTCAACGGAAAGCATAATCAAACCAGAAAAACTCAGTATCTACGAACAGGGCAGCATCAACAAGAATGCACCGACATTTGATGATGACATCGATTTAAGAGGTAAGCAACGTTTTAGCTTCTATATTTCATCAATTCAGAAATCATATTTCGCATGCCAGTTTTACTTTGAGCGTTCCAACAAACCTCAAATCAAATATTGCAAGTCCAGTATTCCAACAAATATTTTGACGAATTTCGGATCGGAATCAAATCGTCAGACTGGTTTGTAAATTTTTCTCGGATTAGTAGAGTTTGCGCAGATCGCAGATGAAGATTATTTTATTTAAAATATATAATTTGTTTTGGCCTTTTGATCTACTATTTATGTCATAAATTGACAAAAATATCATTTTTTGAGTTTTGTATAAAATATGAAGACTGTATAAAATAATTAAGGATTTTTCTTTGGACTATACTTTCAAATCTACCAGTAAAGATTATTTATTTTAGTAGAAGCAGAGGAAGTATTTATTATGTGAAATAAATTTTGTAGAATATTTTTAAATAATTACAAAATGTAAGAAGGGGAAAAGGTAACTGAAATTTAAAAATTTTAATACAAATTCCGTTACTAGAAAAAATAGGTTTTACCACTTAATGTTACTCTTACCAACACTTTTCGTCTACAGGGTCTGAAAATCCGCTACGGTTGGCAACACTAGAACATGCCTACTTACAAACATATGCCCTACTATCGCTTAGCTTGAATCTCCAATAACAATTTTCCATTAGTTACAGGTTTTAAACCGGATGTAGACCTTAGAAATCTCCAATTGCCCTTCAAGGGCATCCAAAACTACACGCCGGCCTCAGAAATCGACGCTAGCGTGAATTCTCATCCGCCGATCACTTGGAAGTTGAATGTGGTGGAAATACCGCGACCCGATTATAACGGTTTGAAGCTGAGCATAAATGACGCTGAAAAAACTGGAGATCCCAGATTAAGGAAGATTTTCCGGCTTAGTACTGAAGAAAGAGACACGCCCATGAGTCCCAAGGCTAGTCCCAAAGCCACGCCTACGGTGAGTTTTTCTTTTATTAATATTTTAGGCACTACAAACATTTTTTGTATTATAGGACAAAAAATTACTCTAGAACCTAAAAATAACTAAAGTAGTTTTATTTTTTAAATAAACCTTAATGAATTCTTCCTCCGGTTCTGTATCAGATTCATCGTTTTGACATGAATCACTATTGGTACAAAATCTTCAATATCTCCATCCGCTTCTCTATAACTTTCTTGTTGTAAGAAAATTTAAGCACCATTTTTTCGCTGACAGTCTATTCTGTTACACGTCTTTTAAAATAAACAGTTTAGCTGTCCACTTCACGTTTTTTGAAATATAATCCAGTGTCCACAAAATTTTTACAGGCATGTTTAAAGTTATTAATTTTAACTGAGTCCTTTAAAATGTCAAGGGAATGCTATTAGCTATAGCTATTAGTCCATTGAAACTTGGACCCACAAATTGCAACTAAAGGGCCAATATACATTACATGGCAAGAGTCCCGAAATTGTCTCCATTCAAATTTAGTAGTTTTCGGAACTGTTTTAAGAATATTTTATTTTAGTTTATTTAGTTTGTGTTATTTCTTAAAAATAGTTTTTTTTTCAATTAGTTAAATTTTATTTCCGTTTTAGTTAGTGCATTTTAAGGAGGTCCTTTCGCCACACCTCTCGCCTCAAATGTTAAAAAAAAGTTATTAGATTATGACTAAAAGTAATTTTTTTCTAATAGTTGAAGTCCTTATTTATCTAATACTGAACTTTTAACTATACCTTACCTTGCAAATTTTTGACAATTTTTTTTAAAAATGTGAGTATTTGTACAGTGCCTCACGAGAAAGTAAGTCCTCAACAACAATTCTCGAATTATACTATTATTTATTGATTAGATGGAGTAGAAAAAAACTAAAAATAAGGTTTTTGAAATATTTAAATTTTGTTTTATACAATAAAATATATACAGGGTGGCTCACGCTCAACGGGACGGAGCTTCATGGGAAAACGACCAAAGATATAAAAAATTCGTTTGTGAGGAATACGTAGTTTACAGACGGCTACAATTTAAAATTTGTTAGATGTATACAGGATGTCCCACATAAGAAAAAAAATTAGTTCATTAAAAATTATTCAAACAAGAGTAAACAATTAATTTTTGGGAGACTTTTTTTCCTTAAAAATTCAAATAAATCGAAAACTAATAATAATAGTAATAGGGAACCTTTAGTTAACTGACATTATTTTTGATGTAGTTTTTAATTCTAAAATAAAAAACAGGGTGTTCCATTAAAAATAATATAACTTTGTATATTTTCTCTTATGTGGGACATCCTGTATACATCTAACAAATTTTAAATTGTAGCCGTCTGTAACCTACGTATTCCTCCCAAACGAATTTTTTATATCTTTGGTCGTTTTCCCATAAAGCTCCGTCCCGTTGAGCGTGAGCCACCCTGTATAGTAAACCGTGGAACTTATTGAGAAATTAATATTAAAAAATCACAAAAAATTTTCAAGTAACCTAGTTGAAAATTTTTTGTGATTTTTTAATAATAATTTCTCAATAAATTCCACGGTAACCTATATATTTTATTGTAAAAAACAAAACCTAAAAATTGTTTTAGGTATATCATCTTATTAGTACCATTCAATATACGGCCCAAATCTAAATTACAAACAATTAGAAACCTAAAACTTTCTATTATGCAATTACGATTTTTTGTGTTTGAACTTCCCTTTTATTGAACAGGTGCGTGTCGATCCTAGACTGAGAAAAATGGAAGAACAAAAACCAGACCCAATTTCGGCAGCGATGAGCTACAATCAGCAAGTAACCATGCTAAGAAGCTCGGCTTTCTACCAAAGCTTAACCAGCCAGCAAAAAGTATTGCTAAACCACGAACTCAGTGTCCGTAATGACGCCAACACCAACAATCACGACCCAGTTTTGAATAGCCTTTTGTCCAACCTCGACATCATTCCCGGTGCAAACCTCCAAGCTAATCACTCCTTAAACGCAGCTCTATCGATTTTAACGAACGCATCCCCGGTAATGAACATGGTCGGGCAGAATCCTGCGATGGGACCCATGGGAGGAGCAATGAATATGACACAACCCGGTTTGCTGGGAGCCGCTCCCGGTATACCGAACATGCCAAACGATTTCCCGATGAACTTTGATCCCAGAAACGGGGGGTTGTTGGGAAACGCGCCGATGCCCTTCGGGGGCTTCCCCCCGCCGCAGGAAAGTCAAGGAAACTTCCCTCCATACAACGACGATTACTATCCTCCGGATAATCCAGGACCGGGCGCTTTTCAGGGCGGTAATAGGGATAATAGGGGGTACAACAGGGAGAGAAGGCGTGGTAGGAGTAATTTTCACAATAGACATAATAGTGGCAATAGAAATTTTAGAAATAACAGGAATAATAATAATAGATCAAATAGAACACATTCGCCGCCTTAGGACGGGAATGTGTATTATTAGTTTTATATTTAAATAACTTCCTCTGTACATAAGCATTGTTAATTAATCTTTATGAATTTTGTAAGAGAAAAGTAATTTAAAAAGAGTTGAAAATTGTCTTAAGTTTGTTTTTCTATTTTTTTTTTTTTGTAACAGAAAAAGCACGGTAGTAATAAATGTTATGAGAGTCAGTCTAATTATATATTTTTTACTTTATTAATTGTATAATAAGAAGAGAATTTGAGACGAGATAAAAATGTGTCATTCGAGCAATGAAGGTAATTTTCATAAACAAATACACAGATTTAAATATAAATAAATTTCTTCTTGATAACGTCCATTTATGAATTTTAATTTTATAAAAATAATTTAAAAAAATGTTAATTCAATCCAGCAATAAGAATTTAAACTGCCAATGATTTTGGTGAATTGTTTTGTGATTTTTATTTGATTTTGAAAATATGGTGTTAAAGTTAACCACCCAGTCTAACATTTTCTTCTTTTTAACATCACAACCCTTGCCTCTAAAAATATCTCAGTTCCTTAATATCTCTTACATTCATCTTACATTTTCCTCTACCGCGTTAATTCGTCCTTTTCTTGGAATGACCCTTCTCCTTCCCAGTTCCCAATAGTTTTCCAGTTTTTCATTTTATATTTTGGTCTTTCTTCACTTTCTGTTCTTATTTACAGTGGTCAAGATCAAACCTTTAGTCCTGATTTGCTTGTGAGGCAGTGAATAATAAATGGCGCTCGTACATAAAGAAACGACACTCTTATCAGTGTTACCGTTCACAAGTCGAATCGCTGGTTAGTAGTACATTATCGACCTATAACTGTAAGCAGGACTGAAGGTTTGATCTTGCGAGCACTGTATAATTATCTCTGCAGGCCTCATATGCCCCTGGCTCCATTTCCTTGTCGCCTTTTGCTTTCTACCTCCAGTTGTTTATCTTTACAGACTACATTTTTCAACATCTCGTCCATCCATCTTTTTCTTTAAAAGCCACATTCCATTAGCATTTTAGATATTACTTCGATTTTCATTCTTTCAATGTATCTCAACAATCTTATATTCAGTACTTTAACCGACGCATTAGACAAAATAAAGACGAGGGCGCTTAATACGCCATAATAGTGTGACGCAATAACGGTTCGAACAAAAACATTAAATTTGACATATACGTGTTTGTTTCTAATTTTTTCTTAATATTGTTTGCAGGTCATAAAAAATAGGTCAAAGATATCTAATTAGTAACTAAACGAATATATACTTGATGCATGTCATCTACTTAAGAAATATATTTATAAAAGTTTAAAAACTATATAATTTAGGTAAACAAAATTAACAAAACGTACTTAAAAAGTCTACTGTCATTGTAATTGTCAATGTAACCATAATTACATCATCACTAATTTAGCGTATTATATTTCGACGTGAGAGATAAAGAGAGTAATTGGTTTAACCATGCCTTTTAGATGGCAAACATGGGATATTGCGGTCCGCACTCGGCGGCGTATTCTATTTCTCTCTATTCAATAGTATTGTGTTTCTTTACGTTCTCCTGGAGTCAGGAATGAAAAGTTAACACATATTGTATACCTAGTCTATATCTCTTAATTCTGCATAGAAAGTCTGGTCCATTGAATAATTCCTTGTTGGTCCTTCTCTTCAATACATCGTTCACTTTTTTTACTCAGTAAAATTTTTGCAGACACTCCCATACTGCAAATATTCTTTGTTCACTCTTATCCATTGTCTCGGTTTCACTTTAAAGCAATACTATGGGTCTCAATATTGATTTGTATTTTATTAAGTTTTATTCACCTGCTTGTGGAGTACAATCTTAAGTAGCTCTGTATCTATTTGAGAAGGTGTTTGCATTTGAAAATGAATCTCAATTACTTATGGATTTTTTCTCAACCTCGAACATCAATAATTCTTAAATTTTCAAATACATCGTCAATCCATCTTTCCTTCCCAGTCTAAGATTGGTTTCCAGTCTTTTATTTTCATTGTTGGTCTTTCTTCACTTTCTGCTATTCACAACTTATAAGTTCTTGATGAATTCAGTCGTAAATGTAAAGACAAAGATAACGTAAATAAATTTATGAAATTCAAACACTTCTTCACGATGGATAGGAGGACAATCTGCAACCAATTTTATCTCGAAGTTCAAAGTACCAACCTACTAAACAACCAACCTAAATACTGAATAGACTTTAGTGTCATTATGTTGAATTCTTTTATTAGGTTACTTCGTACAGGTGATTTAATGATTCTGTGCAAGTGCAAGTATTCGGTCCCCGTCATTATTACTTTAAGGAAATAACATCATTTATTTACAATAAATTTTTGTTGTTGCTAAACTGGCACAGAATTTCTTCAAAAATGTTCAAACCATTTTTATCTTGATGAAATTCATGAATTTCTTCATATCATCTTTAAAAATGCTACTATATTTTGGTATGTTTTTGTGTCTTGAAAAAGCAACATTATTGTTGCATAATTGCAATATTAACAACAAATTGTTACTCAAATCAGAAAAATGAATGGAATAAATCAAGAAGAAACATGAATATTCATATAATTTTAAAACTAAATATTTCTAGGATTGTTTATTATACATAATTTAATCAATTAATGTTGTATTCAAAATACATGTTTTTTGGTTCTCACACGAATTGTGCCAATTACCGTATAATTATCATTAACGGGGTGGTGTACATTTTTGAATGTGTTTGAGTTATATTTGAAAAGTATATCAAATATAAGACTGATTTGGACTGATTATTACTAAGGTTTTTGTTATACCTGGAAAAAATATCGATAATATATTTATTGAACATTTCTGTGTAATTTACATGTTGACGTTTATTTATTGTTTTAGTAAATAGGATATTTATTAAATTTTTTTAACAAAGACTTTAGTAAAAAAGCGATGTTTTTAATAAATAACGTTCACCCTGATAATAAATCTTCATTCCCTACTAGATATTAATATTTTGTAAATATGTATTGTAAATTTCTAATTTTACGGTGTGTGCCGCCAATTTATTTTAACTGACGTTTTATTTTAGATAGAGTACAAATTTTATAGGATCCCATATTGAGATACAAATACAATAATATAAAAAGAATCTTATTTAAAAGTAAAACCTTGGTTAAAATTCATACAAAAGGCCATTAAACACTATTCTTATGTTATGGTTGCTGAACTCTTAGTTTCAATATTTATTTTTGTTAAACATTTTTTTAAAATGACAATCGTAATTTTGATTGATTATTCATTTAATTACTTAATTTTACATTGTATATTATGTACAAATAAATAATTTTTTTAAACGTTCTTTTATTTTAAACCCAAATTGTTAAAACCAATATTTTTAACCCTCAGAGATACAGCTCAGACAAGGCGTGATTTAAAAAATCACTTACTGACGACTTAATGAAGAAGCTAAAAAATAATTTTTAAATTATTCTTTTTTCATCACTCTCAGAGTAAGTAGGCTGGTACCAAAACGGATTTTAAATGCTGAAAAAAAAATTAATAACAAGTAAGGACCTGGTGGAACAGGTAGTTAGGGTTATAACTATAAGAACTAAAAACTTTTAAACAAGAGATATTGGGAAGGGGTGGAATGGGGATGCAGTTTAGGGGTTGAAAACGGTTTTTTGCGTTTTGCGGAGAAACGTGAGCTAGCGAAAAGTGTTCAATACACAAGTTGTTGATAATGAAAAAATTCAAGTTTTTTCAATAAAATGTAAACCATTATTAACAACAGAATACAAAAATATTGAGAATTTACTAATGCAAAACTTAACTTTTTTCAGTTTTTCTCAATTTTTATTGATTCCATCAAAAATAAACTATCAACATATATAGACCGTCTGAAAGTAGACATTACAACGGTTAAAATGAGCCCTTATAAAACCTTGGTAAATCGAAAAAAATATCAATAAAGTTTTCCGTGGAAGTTTAGAGTACTTTTTTCGAAAAATGTAAATATCTCGGAAACTATTCATTTTTTAAAATTCAAAAAATTCATGCTTACTTAACACTAAAAAACTTTTACTTTAACCCAAGTTCATGTAAATTAAATTATTTTTACGCTAGAAAACAATTAAAAACTGAAATATCGGTTTTTCACAATTTTCTCGGAAAATTTGAGGTTATGTTGAAATACGTCATATTCAAAAGTTTTAGGTTCTTTCATTATATACAACTGTTCGTTAGGAGCTGACGTTTCGCCGCAAAACGCAAAACAGTTTTTGGTTCTTTTAGTTATAACCCTAACTACATGTTCTACCAGGTCATTACCGGTTATTAATTTTTTTTTTAACAGCATCAACACCAGCCTAGAGTTCACCTCGACAGAAGTCAAAAGAATACCGAGATGAATTTATTACACATACCAGAAGGCATACTTGTAAACAGCACCCAGGACCGCGAATGGGGTCTGGCCCGAACGCTGCCCCAACCCGCAGACGATATCGTAAATCCTACGCGTCAACAACAGTCATATCTGCAAATTAACAAGCTATGTAAACAGAAGCACTTTGATTATTATCATACCCTTCAAAATCGTCATCGCTATTTTTCTGACATGATGATGTACTGGGTTTCTCCAACAAAGAAAGATTCATTTTTGTCACACACATGCTGCCAGCCTCAAAATTTTAAATGTCAGATTTGATGTGCGAATAAAAATTTTTTGTCTTACATCTCAAACCGCGAACATTTGGCCACTAGAAATTGTCAAATTTACAAGTTATAAAAGTAATTTTAAAAAACCGACTTCAAAATCCTGCAAATGCCCTTAAAAATTAGGATTTTTTTTTTATTTTCTCGAAGATCATCAGATCCTGATCAATTGTATATGGAACTACCCCTGATGTATTTTCTTTCTAACAAAAAACGAATCATAGAAATCGGACAACGTGGTAAAGAATTATCGCTGAAAATACTTAAAAAAATGAAGAGTGATGATTTTCTTATAAACTCCATTATTAAATGTTGACCAAATTTATATGGGACCACCCCAGAGATGTCCTCTTTCTAACAAAAAAATAATCATACAAATCGGACAACGTAGAAAAAAATAATAGCTGAACATACATAAAAAAAATCCGACGAATTGAGAATTTCCTCCTTTTTAAAGTGGGTTAAAAAAAAGAGCAAGCTCCAAAATATTTTAAGACACTATTTTAGACCATGTGACCACTTCCCATAGACATAGATCACAAAATCTGAGAAAAATAATTTATCTTTATTTCGCTTTATTATGTAATCAGAAAAAACGAAGAAGTTTTGAAAGGATTTGGTAGAAACATTTCATGTGAAATAACAGAGCTACAGCTTCAAACCTTTAAACTTAAATTGTGAAATATTGGCAAAATGTTACTTAACACACGTGTGTACTAAAGCATCGATATACCTCTAACTTTCAGCCAAAAACGCATAGCAACAGAAGAATCAAGCGGACTTCTCAACAAAGTTCGATCACCAAAACAACATACATGCGATTATGGTATTCTCTAGTGCTAAGACAATTTTGCTATTCGTAAGTGATTTTCATTTTTGTCGTAAGCCATCTAAAATATAAATCGTAAATGCTGATTGATCTGAATAACTAAGGTTGGGATTTGAATGTCATTTTGATATTATTATAATTCATTAAACAAAAGCTGGCAGCATACAATAGTATGATCCATAGATTAGTTAATATTCCCCTTACCAAAGAGAACTTCACTAAAGAATTAAATATCATTAAACAAATCGCAGTAAATAATAATTTTAATTCAAAGTTAGTAGACAACATTTTAGAGAAAAAACTTTTTAAACAGGCTATTCAACAAGTTTATCCTATAATTAAAGATCCAAATTGCAGATATAAGAGTCTTACATATATAGGAGCTCCTAGTGAAAAGGTATCATCATATTTAAAAAACCAAAATATTAACGTAGCTTTTAAAACCAATAATACGCTTGGGAAGTATATTAAAAACAATAAGGGTAAAATTAATCCTAATAATAAATCGGGGGTATATAAATTAAATTGTGGTAGTTGTCCAAAATTGTATATTGGTCAAACAGGTCGTACTTTCAAAAAACGCTATTCCGAACATTATAATAGCTATACAAAAAACAAAAATAATTCTACTAACTCAAATCATATTTTAGCTGAAAATCATTCTTTTACAGACAACTTTGAAATTTTACATGTAGAAAATAAGAGCCTTAAATTAAACCATTTAGAAACACTTGAAATAAATAGATTTAAAAATTCAGATAACTTACTAAACGATCAATTAGATATTAATAATTCACCCTTATTAAATCTCTTTCCCAGTTTTCTGTGAGATAATCCCGGTAATGGGCTATCTTATTGTTATCTGATGGATATTATAATTACCTAAGTACCCTTATTTACTTTAAATAGTTAGTTTATTTTGTAATGTTATTGATGTTTTCTTAAGTACTTTGTTTTGTTAAATTATTTCGTATATATATTGGATACCGAATTGTAAATAGTCACATTTGAAAAAGAAGTTGTACTTCGAAACATATCTCATGTTAGTATTTTTTCTTAAAAATTTTTATTTTTAAAATAAAAGTGAAAATCTACCAAATTTGGTTTTACTCTTTCAAAAAAAAAAAAAAAAAAAAACGAAATGAAATATACTCCAAAAGCATGGAAAAACATTGTGCTTTACCAAATGGCACCTGTGCCAATCCCAAACCTGAGCAAAGTGGCTTGAAAAAATTATTTTATATTAAAAAAATCACATAAGGCATGACAGCGCTAATTTTGTTTGCCCTTAAAGTTTTCCAGAAAATAACATTCAAATATAAATCTTGATATATATGGTTAAAGGGAAACGTTTTCTTCCTCTTAACATCGCACAAAAACATCTATCCACGATTAGTAGGTAAAAATCATTAAAAATATGAATCAATTTTTGCCGATTTAAAAATTGATTTGTATGCCTATTGTTGTAATTCATTTTTACAGGTTGCCATAGAAACGTCAAAAAAACTACTATGATTATGGTTTAAAATAATTGTCTAACAAGAGTTTATAATTATTATTGACTATCTCTGCAAATGGTTTATACAATGCCATCCTTCTTCCTTTCACACAAACATGGTTTAAAAGGTAGGTAAAAATATTAATAATTTAGGTTTAAAAGCTAGGTTCACAATGAATTAGGATTGTAATTTTCAGGGAAAATACAATTGTCGCGGTCATGTCTTATATGATTTTTTGAAAAAAAAATAATTTTTGTAACCACTTTGCTCAGGATAGGGATTGGCCCAGGTGCAATTTGGTAAAGTACAATGTTGTTACATACATGCCTTTGGAGCATATTTCATTTCGTTATCAGATGACGGTCGAAATTTGCAGTGGGCTCTCATACTATTATCTTCGTCTGCAAATCTTAGCCTTAAATGTCAAAACTTGAAATTCGAACAGCAAAACGCTATTCATATGGAACTTTTTTGAAAGCGCTTTACGTTTTTCAAATATGAACAGCACAGCAAGTAGAGAATACCAAAACATTTGTGCTTTACGCTTTTGTTAGTTGTTTCTCGCGTTTCTAGAGAGACGCGCTAAGTGTGCTTTCAAAAACGCTGGTAAGAGAATAAGCCCCCAGAATACCAATACAAAGTTATTTTTTTTTTAAATGAGACGCCCTATATTTTCTTTTAATTTCATGTTCTACTCTTAAAAAAATCTTAATGTAATAAAGATTTCCTATTCCCAATCTTCGATAATTACCGATTTATTTGACATTTTTTGATAATGTAGTGCTGTCAAAATTAATTAATTGCCCTTGATTATAAAATAATTAACGAATTTTGGCAGTTCCTTACAAAATGTAACTTTTTATCAGAATCATTAAAATATTAAAAAAATGTACGAGTTGTTTGCTATTTGAAATTTTATTGCAGTAAAATGTTTTATTTAATTACTGCGTTAATTTAAATGGAATACCATGGATTTTATGGTATAAAATAAATTTTATTTACGTTAAAAGTTCTATAAGGTTCGCTATACCCACATCTACTATTTGTAAAACTTTTATCAATAGTTTCAATGAATCAATACATTTCACACATCTACTAAGTTTTATTTTAAGAAAGCTATTAAATAGACATATTTATTCCAAAATTTGTCAAAAAATTTAAAATTTACAATAAATATTCATTATTGTCAATGCATATTCTGATTCGCTTTTGATAATTATTTTTTACATTACTTAAAATATCTAAATTAATAGCAAACGCATCACAAATGCCTGTTTTTATATCTTCGGCGGTGGTCGGCTGAGTTTGATAAACTACATTTTTAACATATTTCCAAAAGAAAAATCTAGAATGGTTAGTCGGGTGATCTAGGGAGGCAATTGGTAGGGCCTTTCTCTTCTTCCTATCCATTTTTTGTTTAAATATGTCCCGACATTTTGCGAAAAATGAGCGAGAGCATCATCTATCTGCAGCCACATTCTTCGTATAATATACAAAAGAAGGTTCCAGGAATATTTCATCAAAAATTTAAAAAATTTCTTTCATTTAAATGGTCATCAAAAAAATTGGGCGTCACCAACTGTCTTCCACAAATTCGTTATCATGGAAAGTAGATTCATCAGTAAATAGTATATAATAAAAGTTAATATTTAGAATTGTACGACACGCCACCGATAAAAATGCTTTTTTGTCAATTTTAATATCATTTGCTTAAAAATTAATGAAAAGCATAAAATAAACAAACTTGGCGGGTAACATTTATTACTCTGGAGTAAGATATGTACAAAATATAAATGCCAAGCTGTATAATAACCAAATAAAATGAAAAAAAAAAAAAAAAAAAAGAAAATATATAAAGTATAAATGACTGATGTTTATTTACCTGTAAAACGTAATATCTTGTCGCTACGACTTTTACACTGATATGCAACACCATAAACCATTGTAACAAACTAATAATAATTATCAATGCCGTATAATTTAAAAATCACAAATAAACACGAGTAAAAAACTTTGGTGTCGCCGAAATGCTTAGCACCAAAATAATGGCGGCAAATCGATAATCGGCACAAAATACTACACGTGCTAGATATACTCTCTCCTTGTCTAAGAAATGACCCCCGTCTGAGATGTAATGCAAACATTTTTGAAATGGTGTTATCAATCCTGACGGTCAAAAATTGTATACCTTATGACGGTTTTGAAGCAGCAGCTCCTGGTCTAACATACATATTTTCTGAGATAAACATACTTTAATTATTGTGTAAGCACATTGTACAACAAACGAATTAATAAATTTTGAAGAAAGTATTTTCTAAACTTTAAAATACTTGTGGCGAGCACATTATTTTGAAATGAATGAATAAATTTTAAATAAAGAATTTTGTGAATTTTAAAATGCTTGTGTTGAGCTCATTATTTCAAAACTTTCATCAACACAACGGAACTTTGAGATTCCAGATTGTTTTTAAAAATATGGGGTGTTCTGTTAATTTTAGACAAAAATAAATAAAATTTGTTATGTTGATTTTAAGATGAATTGATAAACTCAATCCAAATGAAATGTCTAGTAATAAAAATTTAGAAGATTAGTAAATTCAGGTAATCAATTTTGTTAGTCATACGTTTTTAAGTAAGGTAAGTAAAAATGAATAGCAATGAAGGGTGGCAAAATCATCAAGTATAAATTAGTCCCTGTAATCGTTCTTTTGTTTTTGTTTAGTATCCAGAGGTATCGCAGCATACCTTTCAAATTATCCCAAATGAAGCTACGGACTTTGCGATTTACACTGACGATATAGTTTCATTTAAGAGAGGTCGGCGCGGCATGACAAAGATCGTGGGTTCGATTACAACCGAAAGAAAAAAAAAACAGGTTAAATAGAAGAAATAATACAAAGTATATGAACTTAATTTAAGTTAACTTTATTCCATTTACATTATAATACACAATATTACAAATATACATGCTTTTGACTAGTAAGTTATCAAAACATCATTTCATTTTCAAAAAATAAACACTTAAAAAAGATGGGTTGTTCTGTTAATCTTACACAAAAATAAATACAATTTGTTGCATGGGTGATGTATGTGTTATCATTATCTACGTAATTAGTGAGCTGTATCTATCCAATGTTTGGCTAAAAAGAATCATAATCTTAAAAGACAAACTGAATTAATTTATATCACATAATTATATCGAAATAATTTGCCACATAAATACTGAAACACAATGAGACAGAACTTAAATCGAATGAGGGCTAACCGTAGTTGATTTGCCTCTAGAGGGCGTTACTGAGACGAAAGGTCCACAAATACCAATGACACTTTAAGGCTGGTGCAGATTAGGTAACAATTTATGGGGCTGTGACGATTTTTTTTTATAAATTTGTTAAGGGCTTAAAAAATAAATCCGGTTTCTTTAAAAGGCGTTTATTCCTTACTAAATGTATTATCATCCAAGTTAAAAGTTAATTATTGCTTTTTAAACTCGCCGCCAAATTCGCCTAACTTAATTTGATAGTTTTAATACAATGTTGCCAGATTTAAGATCTGTTCGAATGTACTTTGGTTCGTTCATTTGATTCTGAAATGTCAAGTTCTGTTGTTGAACTTAAAGGTTACAATTACATTTCACATTTTATTTAATCATCGAGTTTGGTCCTGATTTTTTAATACGGCAAGTCTCCAAACCATGTTTCTAGATTTTGACAGCTTGTCGGTTGGACCGCACGTCTTAGCATCGCCATCTGGTGAGCATTGGAATATTACCCCTCATTATGAACGTTTTTAAGCAAATTCTAACCTATAAGTTTATACGGGTATGTAATCGCTGGCGAACGTTGTGCTTCTAGATTGATAAAACTCAAATTCGGACGAGGCTTTTTTATGTATAACAACTTTGAAGCCGATTTTAGCGAGGCCGTAAAAGCAACGAGGCCTTAGAGTATTGCTTGTGAATTGCCATCCGAGATGATTGGCACAACTCTTGCACTGCATTATCGTCCACGCGTATCTAAAGAAAACAATACATCGCAATTTAAAATAAACTTGATTTGCTTTAACAGAATTTATGATAATAATTATTATGTATCCAATGTGAAGTAACATACTATGATAGTGTGTTGACATTTTTTCTAAACAAAGGAAAGTAACCAAGGAGAGCGTTCCAAAACTCGCACAACGGTTGGTAAATAAATAAATTGACATTTTTTGGATGACAGTTTACGCATGACGGATTCGCTTATGTCAAGTCTTTCTATACGCTAGTTAGGGCATGGTCCGTTATTAACCTAAATATCGATTACTCGGTCCAAAAATAACCGCTCTGCTTCCTGAAAAATCGGTTAAATTAGGGACGCGGTTACCTGAAAACGGTGACTCAAACGTCAATTCACTAACCGCTATATTTTTACGGTTACTATTAAGTCGAATGTCAATCTGTCACAAAGGTGACGTAAATCTCGGCAGTGGTCCAAATGTAACCAAGGTTGTTACTTGTGGTTAGTAGTCGGTGAATAATGGACCATACCTTTAGTGATGATGTAATTTTGGTTCCACTGACAAGTAAGTGACAGTAGACTTTTTGAGTGCGTTTTGTTAATTTTATTTTCCTAAATTATATCGTTTTTTAACTTTTAGAAGTTAATGGAACCAAAATTGATGAAGATGACACAAATGCCAATTCTCTAGTTTTTACATGACACTAAGGATAAAACTAATAATATTATTACAACTACAGCGTGTTTTTGTTTAAAATTCACCCCCACCAAAGCACAAAGTTTCGTTTATTTAAATTAACAAAAAACAATATGAACACATTAGTAAACAAACGTTTGTGTGTCAAAAGTTCATCATGCAACTATTTTTGACAGGATGTTGAAATCCCTAATTAATGTTTTCTTGGCTGTACTCTAAACTACAGGGGTCGGCATAAGTCTGGCAACGCTCTAAAAATCGTCATAAGTCTGGCCAAAGTTATCTGGAAATGCATGCTCGAAGATTTACGTGGGCAAATGGACAACGATCCAACACTCGCGAACATCCGTCATTTCATGCAGGATGAAGCTTCGCCGCACTACGCGTTATGTGTGGGGGAGTTCCTTAATGATCATTTTGGAGAATGGATAGGCAGACGAGGAATCTTTGAGTGACCCGCACGGTCCTGTGACCTGACACCCTACGATGTCTTCTTGTGGGGCCTTCTCAAGGACCGCATTTTTATAAAAAGACCACGCACCCTTCCCGAGCTCCGAACTGCAATTGAAGAAGAATTTGAAAATCTTCGAGGACACCTTAACATGCTTCGTCTGACCTGTCTCTCCGTTGCGAAACGTTGCCGTCAATGCATTGATCAAGATAGGCATCAATTTGAACACTTACACTAACCCTTTTTTGAATCCCCTTTGTAATTTCTTCGAATAAATTAATTTTGACGTTGCATTTTTTTTTATGCAAATTTGTTGCATGACTTATGCCGACCCCTGTAATACTTTTAGACTAGTTGTTTATATACTGTACACACCTATTTCAAAATATTAGTTTTCTTTATAATAGTTATTTCTGATGTATTAACATAAAAAGTAATATCAAAAAATGTATTAGACCATAATAAAATAGACTTATAATTCTTCAAATTTAACACAGTATTTTATTTAAAACACCAATAACCAAAATTTCCAATATGTTGTCTGACATTTGTCATATTAAAAAATCCGACTATTTACCACAATCTAGCTGAGTTTAGGAAATGGATTCCTTTTACTCTTTTCACTCTAAATCTAACTTCACACCACTGAGTTGCAATGGATACATTAGGTATAGAATGAAAAGTATAAAAGGAATCCACTTCCCGAACTAAACATCTAAAGACCAGTAAAAAATTGTACAATTTTGAGAGTGAGTTTGATGGTTTGAGTACATTTTCTACTACTAAAGAGAGGCCCATTATTGTTAGTAGTCGATGGGCGCCAAATATCTTAAAATGGCCCTGGCTAGAACACGCTGGGTGACAGTAATGTGTTTCAACTCTCATTTTAAACAATGGAATGGTCAACAAATTAAGTTTATAAGCGATTCCTTTTTACAAAAATTACTGGACTCAACCAGTCATTGAAACCCAAATGTGAATGGTCTGTGGTTGTCATCATTGTTTATTCCTGTAAGTTTGGCTTTGGCCAGTGGTGTTACAAAGAGGGGAGAATATTGAGAACAAACATATATTACTTTTATTAGTAAGGTTTATTTATTATAATAGAAAATCGAAGACTATATCAAAATTAAATTAACAATTGTACATATAAAACCATAAAAATCATTTATTACAAGAAAAAATCAAAGGCTATAGCAAAATTGGACAAAAATTAGCACTTAAGTGAAGTGGATGCTGAATTAAATTTCAGTAAAACTTGCATATTTTACATTAAGAAACGCTGTCAAGAATAGCAAATATTGCGAAAACCTTTCAGACAAAAGTAGGGAAGCTCTCTAATGAAAATTAAGGCAACGCTCTTGTAGAATATATCCGTCACAATCCTTTTGGAACCACTGTGAAAGCACAAATTAAAGTAACATCTGAAATAATTTGGGTTTTTTAGGTTATATTGCTTTGTTTAGAAAATACGTATTGACATCACAACTATCACGGTTCACTACTTAATTTTCGACATAATATTAAAACATTTAAATATGTTACTTAAAACTGCTATTTATTATAATTTAAGCTGGTCATGAAAATCTTACCCTGGGAACCAAGAAAACTGCCTGGATGGTTGTCCTTCCAATTTAAAATTTTGTGCTGTCATGACTGTTACAGTCTCGTACACGTGTCCACCTTAAAAAATAATCTATTGATATTAATTGGTTCTTACTTTAGGCAAAGAAAAATATATTTCAGTTCTACTGTTTATGAGAGACTCACAAATAAATTTAGTTTTTGTAGTAGTTCAGGACATTCTATTAGATTAATATATAGATATAAAAAGAACAGCACTGCATATTAGTTTCGAGAAGAGAAATAATGAGTTTAAAGACCTTTGATAAGAATCCAGATTGATCTTTTTAAATGTACGAAAAAGGTGACCAAACTAATAAACCAATAATTTAACAGGGGAAAATGAAAGATTTTGTTTAAACAATTTCTCCTATACACACTTTAAATACAAAATCTTTCATTTTCTCTTACTACTCAGTGTGTACACACCTACAACCCCTTTGAGCAATAATTTAACCCTTTGCACAAATTGAGAGACTATCTTCTTTTCCACAATTTTTTGCAACCACAGACAAAGATCTGGGTCAATGAATGTTTGTTTACAAAGTTTTGAACATTTGATTTACCTGGGTTGACATAGTTGCTTTGAATTCCATCTTTTGACATGGCGAATACTTTACTAGGGTCTGTAATTTGAATACCACAACTGTTGCAACACATGCTTCTCTCCTAAAATATAGAAAAAAAAAAAAAACATAGTTATGTTTTAATATAGGAACACAATAAATGACTTTTGAAGCTAGTTCTATGTAAAATACTTTTTAATCATTTATTCCCTTTTTCTCTAAAATATAATAGTCACAAATAGCTGTAAAAGTGTTTTATATGCTGATAATTAAAAAAAATCAACGATATTTAGGTGTGTTTTGAATAAAACTTAAGTTTTACTAACCAGTTTTAAATATTTGTACTCCAATTTCAGTCTCTCCAATCCAGAATTCAGTTTTAAAATGTGCAAACGTTCTTCATGGCTTAACTGATAATTCTGGACAAACCAATAGCTTAATTTTATAGGATCCTCAGGAATATATTCTAGAAATGTTATATTTATTTGGTTCAAAGTGATAATCTTAAATAATTCAATACAAAATCAAATTTAACAGTTTCTTTTTGTATTAAAGGCTTTGGCAGTTAATAGTTTAGCAATTTTTTGTTTTCTTTTATAAAGTATGAGTGCATATTTATTGAGTGCTTTATGAGTTACATGGTTATATTCAGGATGAAAAGTACTATAAAAATGTAAATATAATTACAGGTCCGTATTTAAAATATTCAGCCTGAAGGTGTGTCCACACAAAAAATTTTTGTTTCCAATTTGAATTACTAAAGAAAAAATCTAAGTAACATTTTTTCGTTGTGTGGAAAAACATTAGACCAAAAAAAAAACAAAATCCAAGAATTCAGTTTTTCCTAAATACCAGGAAATATTTGGAATACGGGGATTCCAGAATTTTTTGTCACAAATATATTCTAGATGAAGAGTGAACAATAATTTTTCATTTCAGACTAGCCATTTGCACAGCATTTCCAAAAAAACGAATTTTAATGAAAAACACCTAAAAAAATGCAAGCCAGATAGCTTCGGAGCAGATGACAACGAATTGAATCAACAAACAAATTTTTAGCTTCATTCTATTTTTTCACAGGCAAATCTACTCTATCTCCTGACATATAAAGCTTAAATAGGTATATAAGAGTAAGAAAGATCTACATTTAATGAAAGTAGGCAAATAAAGAAAGATCAAGAAACCAGCCAATTTGTGGTATTATGTTACTAGATAAATATTCTGATTATATTCTTAAACTAATTTAATGAACATATGAATGGGTCAATCCCTTCAGTATTTTCATTAAAATTGATACACATTTTATTTAAGGGAGTGTTTATCATAATGTTTGTTCTAGAAGTAGAAGAGGTATGTTTGCTCATTTCTCCTATTTAGTAGTGGTACATATAAATTAAAAGTACTAGGAGCTCTGAACAATAATTAAATGATTAATTAATTTGTATATAAAGATACATAAAATATATGTCCTGCAATTATCAAGAGATGAGAACAATATATTATTGTTGATACCTTGCTGTGAATAGGTTCTGTCTAATTTCCTGCTATGTAGTTCAGGAATATTCTCGGAATAGATTGGATTTGGTCAATGATAATATTGTATCCAGGTGAGCAGACAATTGAACATTTAAGGCCTGATCTTACTAAGAAAAAAATCTTAAAAATATATTATAGTATGTACCTACCTCCCACATAGTGAGCAAGACATTCAAGTATTAATTTCACATAGTAACTTATTTCGTTCTTATCATAAACCCAAGATGATATAGGAAACTGTGCCATATGGTACCTGAAATTATTTTCATTTATCAAATTAACTTAAAATAAACAATTACCCCTTAATTTCAGTTATTTTTCAACATAATTTGGCAGAAATGTAGACTTGAGTTCAACATTATGAATGTGCTTACCTTCTATACTTATAATTCTTCATTAAATCACCATACAATGTAGAAGTGAACAGTCTTTTCTGTTTCAAACTTATCATTTGTGTATCACATAAAGGAGTAGATATTTCTGGTTCCGCAATGATTTGTACAGTCACATGCTTCAGTCTACCAGTTAAATTCTTAATTTCAGACCCTGGTACTATTTTGCATCTCTGCCTACCTCTGGCTTTGATGCTCAAAACATTGTCTCTCTGTTGAGTTTCAAATACTTCCATGGTTACTCCATAATTGAAGATTCCATTGAATGTTGAACTGATAGAATACATAGTAAATTAGTCTTTGAAATATGTATTTAAATAGTTTTGTCTTGCAGTTTTAGAGTAATAAACAGTATTTTTAATACTTACTTTGCACAAAGCAGAACAAACACATTGTTTTTTTCAAGAAATTCAGGAAGTATTGACGTTTCCATGAATGTGTTTATTACTAATGGAAGGGTGAAACCCGGAAAAACCATAGTAGCTGTGTATATTGCCAGAATATTAATAACTTGTCCATCATCATAGAGAGTGTAACCTCTGACATTATCCAACTTTCCTAAATACTAAAAAACAATGTTTTAATTAAATGTTAACAACTCCGAAATTATATCATATAAAAGAGAAATTTACCCTATGAGCTGTAGGTAAATCTGTATCAAAATCTCCTTCTTGGGATACTGGTGGAAGTTCCTCTTCTGAAAAAAAATAAATAAATAAATTCAAGATAAAAACGGGCATATTCAGGGAACTCTAAAATAGAAATCTTGAATAACGCTGCAAACTAGATGCAAAATAAAAAGAAAAAACCTGAAGTATTTGTTTCATCTTCTGAATCAGACGTAATATGTCCATTTTCCATTTCTGCTGGAGGCACATAATCCGGATCATTCTCCTCGTCATCGGCATTAGCCCAGTTTTCTGGTTCCGACATAATAATTATTATTATTTATATTTGTTTATCAACTCGTAAATTGTAAATAAAAAAACTTCCTCTTCTACATGTCGTAAAATACACACAACACAAATAGACACTAGTGACAGTGACCACAGAACACTTATCCTGTGACTAGTGACATAAGTGGCTTCTACCACTTCTGCCAACCTTATTCTATTTAAAAAATGTCTAATATTATTGCTGCGTTTGAGAATCCACATCGGATGCATTTTTTACATCTCGAGCGTTTTTTTATCCACATCGGATACATCTGTCCCATTACATTTACATATACTGAATCACGTGATCAAAGATTTTTTACATCTCAGATGCATCCGATGTGGATTCTCAAACGCAGCAATTGCTGCGTTTGAGAATCCACATCGGATGCATTTTTTACATCTCGAGCGTTTTTTTATCCACATCGGACACATCTGTCCCATTACATTTACGTATACTGAATCACGTGATCAAAGATTTTTTACATCTCAGATGCATCCGATGTGGATTCTCAAACGCGGCAAATATATAGAGAGTTTATTGCAAGTTCACTTTAAGGTCAGTCACTAGGCGAGTTCGGTCAGTCAGGGTCTGGAGCGGGACAAATTTTAGGGTGCTTTTAAATGACATTTAAGCGTGTTAAACTGTCACTAATCGGACTAAACCTAACGCTAAAAGGGTCGTTTGGAGTTAAAAGTGTTAAAGGAGTTAAAGGAACTTGGCAGACCGAACGGAATGACTATAGGTCTTTTCCTTTGCATCGTTTTCTGTGTAGGTTATGGAGAAGTATTATTTAGGTATAATAGGTACTTCCATAAAATAGGTTTTGTTACTGTTTCGCAGTGCTGCTTTAGGAACATCACTGTTTTAATAAGAATCCAATAACTTTGAATCAGATTTATTTTTAAAATAATTAAATAAATTAGAAAAAAATTCCTTACAAATTGTACTTGCTGATGTATTAGGTAGATGGCAATTTAGTTGTAAAATTTGTAAAAAAGTGCTTTTATTATTTAGAACACATCCTGATTCACAATAAAAAATGAGAGGGAATGCAAAAATCTCTATAACGACACTTCATATTATTAACGACAGCTCTTTAGCTATCGTTGATGAACTACAATTTTACAACCATATTTGTTTATTTTCAACGACAATCGTTGTCTACTGAATAAGAAAAGTCGTCTGTGAACGATTATCGTCTATTAACGACGTCGTTCAGAGTTACTGAATAGGCCCCTTATTAATTTGTACTTGATTATAGATGAGCAATCTATATAACTATATGTTATTTTACCAACATAAGGGAACTGTCATTGTGACTGTCAATAGATGACATTTCATTTAATCATTTCATTTGAAATTTGATGTCATGTCATGTATGTTTTGGTTTATTTTGTTTCCGAATTCACATGGTTTACTCATAATTTTTTAGTTTTTTGTATGAATAAATTTAAAAACCTCAATTAATGTTAGAAGAAAAATATATTCAGTATCAAAAAATTCTAGTTAAATGAAAGAAAAATAAAATAGCCAGTCATGTCATTGTTGGGCTCTCCTTATTCAAATTCTTATAATCAGGATTATGAATTTGATGATGAAAAATATGAAAATGAAGACGAAAAGGAACATGATGACCCACCAGATGAGACTGATGAAGATACTGAAGACGCCAGTGAAACAGATACAGGTTAGGAAAATATTTATATATTCCCATGATTTTAATTCATCAAATTGTAGGAAGGCAAGAAGAACCTCTCGAAATTAAAGAACAAATGTATCAAGATAAACTTTCTAATTTAAAGAAAAAACTACAGCAGCTTAAAGATGGTACCCATCATGATTACAATAAAAAAGTGAAAAAGCTTGAGTACCAATACAAAGAACGTATACGTTTAAATGTACTCTATAGAGATTATATGATTGACTGTGTAGAACGAGAGTACATACAAGAGAAAAAAGCAGCTGTTCGTGAGTTTGAAGAGAAGAAAATTGACTTAAAAGAAAACTTGATATCAGATCTTGAAGATAAGAAAAGAACTGTAGAAGCAGAGAGGTATACTATGGAACTTACTGGAGACTCTATGGAGGTAAATATTGTTTTTTTTTTCATAATTTGGTCTTAAAGTTAATACATACACTAACCAAGTGAAATCGTCCTATTCATATTTTTTTCCAACATTCATTAGAATTAAAATGCTTTCCCACATTATAGAGGTCAAGTTTTGTTGTTCCTGTATTTATAACTGGTGATACATGCGTTATACAGGTATTTCAGTAATATTATTAATCAACAACATGGTTTTACTGCAGGTATCAGTTATCAATCTGTTGGTCTATCAACAAAATAGCCCCTTTAAATTTTATGAAAATAATATACATATACACAATATATTCTAATTTTAGTAAAGATTTTGACCATGATAATCCCTTTTTTTAATGATATCTAAATTAAAAAAGCTTGGTCTTTCTGATGATTTTTTGACTTGAGAGCTATTTAAAAAACATGAGTTCAAATGATGAGAATATATAGTAGTCTATATTTAATATGAAGTACCCTCAGATGTTCCCATTTAGGGATAATTATTTTTCTTACTATATGTCAATGATATTGTAGCTATTTTCTAATATAGTACTTTTCTATTTTTTGCTGGTGACCTAAAGATATACCAATAAAAACTCCCAGGCCGGATATTTTGGTAAGTAATAGAGATATTTTAATTCTGTAAAAGTCGGTTCACAGAGCACTAAGAGAGCTTTAGTTTTAGATATAAATTTATTTTAAATATGTCAATATATAGATGGCGCTGCGCTCAATAATTTTTTTTTTCGATGGGAGGATCTTTCTTGTGTAGGGCATATTGTAAAAAATGCATTTTTAAGCAGATTTTGAACTAATTCGATAAATCTAGCCATTTTTGATATACAGAGTGGGTCACTCAAAACAGTTTCATCCTGTTTTTCTACATTAATCATTGAATTTTAAGAAAATGCTAAAACAGGGCGACTTTAATTCCAAATTAAAATCATTTTTACAATACAGACATCTGTCATGTGTCAACCCCCTCCCTTGCACTTCTCCAACACTTTAAATTTAAATAGGTAATGTACCATGTATGGCACATCATTGAAAAGGTAATTTAATGGGGGATTCATAAATGTTTTTGTACATTGCGCTACTTAAATTTTATCGCTCTCTAGCGGGATGAAAAACTACTACGTATTATAGAGTGTGACACTACAATGTGTAGTACATTATTAAAAAGGTAATTTTATGGGGAATTTAAAAATATTCATTGCGATACGTTTAATTGTACCGCCCTCAATCGGGATAAAAAACTACATATTATAAAGTGTGATACCTTATTTGAAAGCAAATTTAATTACTAATTCAATGCACTACATAACATTAATATAAATATCCTCCATATTGCAATTGCAATAGTTTGAAAATTAGTCATACATTATTTTAAACATTATTGTTAACTTTATTTTGTTGCGAGTGCAATATGAAAATATTTATATTAATGTTATGTGGTGCATTGAATTAGTAATTAAATTAGCTTTCAAATGAAGTGGCACACTTTATAATACGTTACAGGTTTTTTTATCCCGATAGAGGGCGCTAAAATTAATAGTATCGCAATAAACAGTCATATTCTTGACTTCCCCATAAAATTACCTTTTCAATTATGTGTCATACATGGTACATTCCTTATTTAAAATTAAGGGGTTGGAGAAGTGGAAGGGAGGGGGGTTGACACATGACAGATGTCTGTACTGTAAAAATGTGTTTAATTTGAAATAAAAATTGATCTGTTTTAGCATTTTCTAAAAATCTAATGCTTAATGCCAAAAAACAGGATGAAATTGTTTTGAGTGACCCACTCTGTATATCAAAAATAGCTAGCTTTATCGAATTAGTTTATATAACAAAATTTGCTTAGAATTCCTTTTTTTACAAGATGCGCTATATAAGAAGGATCCTCCCATCGAAAAAACAATATTGAGCGCAGCGCCATCTACATATTGACCTATTTAAAATTAATTTATATCTAAAACTGAAGCTCCTTTAGCGCTCTATGAACTGGCTTTTACAGAATTAAAATATCTCTATTACTTACCAAAATATCCGGCCTGGGAGTTTTTATTGGTACACCCTGTATAATAATATGCCCATAAATATAAATAGTATCAATAATAGTCATTTTTTACGCAGTGATATTAACTCACTGCATTATTGGTCTGTGAAGAACTGTATGTCATATAATATCAACAACTGTTACAAATTATTACTTTTGGAAAAGGATAAGACAAAGGCGAATTCAGTTCTTAAACTCTTTAATGAGATAAAAGAGTTAGTGATGCTAGATCAATATCTATCGTTTGTTCCTCATACCACTCATGCAATAAATAAAGCTCTCAAAACTAGGTTTTGTCTCAAGGAACTCAAACAACCTCATTAAATTCCATTAAAACAGTTTACTCAGCTTTTGTTAGTTTAATTTCGGAACATGGGTTGCCAGTTTGGTCTCCATTTTATGATGTACATATTAGGATTAGAGCCTGTTCAACATAAATTTCTGAGATATTGTGCATTCAGATTAATAATCCGCAACTATGATTGTTTTATTAAACTTAATGGATCTTGAATCTCTAGAATTTCGAAGTTGTACAGTAAATTTGTTATTTTTGCATAACGTAATTTCAGTAATTTTAGGATCTACTAATTCATTGTTCCAAACTTTTAGAATCCTTTCAATTTAGAGTACCATTAAGATATACTCGTCAAAATGTGTTACTCTTCATTCCATTCCATTTCACAGAACTAATTATGGCTTATTTAGTCCTCTAACAAGAATGTAAATAAGTGCAAATTCATTAAATTTTGATATTCTGGGTACGTCTTTCAATAGCTTTAGAAAAGCTGCAAGAAATAGACTCTTGATATTTTGAATATTTTCATTCATTCCTAATGATTTTTATTGATATTTGTTATTTTATATTAAAAAATAAATAAATTACTTAATGCTTCTCATTTGACTGTTTTAAGGGTTGGTGTTTGTTTTTTAAATAAAAGCTGCAAATGAATGTATTATCTTTTAAATAATTTTTGTTTATTTTTTTTTTATTGTAATTTTCAATAAATTAAAATTAAAAAGATGAAGACGGTACATCTATCAAAGCTTGTCCTTTTCAGTGTACTGAGTGTAAAAACAAAAATATAATGATTAGAAAACTCAAATTAGCATTAGAGATATATCGATTTTTTATAATGACACAAATAGTCGTTTAATTGAAATAGTCATAAAATAAATAGAATTTTAAATTTTAATGTATTTCCAAATTACGGTATACTAACTTTTGTTACAGGTTAAGCCTGTAATGACAAGAAAATTACGTAGAAGACCTAATGATCCATTACCTCTGCCTGAGAAGCGTAGAAAACCGCCCACAGCGCAAATAACTTATTTATTGGAAGAGAAAGATGTAGAAAATGATTTAAGACTGATAAACAAGGGAAAATTGCCAACACCTGTTAGAAAACAAAGTGAAAATTCAGGTTCATCTTCTAGTCCAGGACATGTTCAGGTTAAGAGACTTACATTTGGAAATTATAAAATTTATAAATTTAGAACCTAAGGACTATCAATTTATATTTAATTTATTTATTGTGTATATATTCAGTACGATTTCTTGTTTTTTTTATTCCAAAAATGCAAATATTGAAATACAGTCTAAACACTTTTAATCCACACATGAATCTATTAAAAAAGAAGTTTTATTAATTGGCTTTTAACTTGACACCCAAATTGCAGGTTTGTAATTATATTTTTAGATTGAATTTAACTAGCCAACATTTACAGGGTGATTTTTTAAAAAGAATCCAACATATGTAAAAATTTTGATATAGCGGGATGTCTTTTTATATATATCCTCAACTGTCATATGTTATTTCTCTCTCTTTGGTCAAATACAATTTATATAGGGAAAATTCCAAGTATGACACATTTTTGTAATGTTAATTTTATGGGAAATCTAGCAATATGACTGTTCATTCGTTACTTTTATTTTAGCGCCCTCTAGCGGGATAAAAATATTGTTACATATTGTAAAGTGTGACACTTTATTTGCAAACAAACTTTGTTAGTAATTTAGTAAAAGAATGAATCTTTATTAGTATGAATATCATGATATAAAGCAATATAATAGTAAAAAAAATCGTTAAATGTTTACAATTTAAAACTTACTGATAAATATAAAGCATACATGAATCATAAGTATAAAATATACATATCACAGAGTAGCTTTAAATAAAAATTATATAATTATTAACATTAACAAATTAAACAGGATTGTTTAATTTGTTTTTATTTTTAATATGTTTAATTTTTTTTTAATTTCTAAAATTTGTTGGTAATTTGTTGTATTCATAATAAAACAGTTGAATTAAACATTAACTTAAATACTTGAAATACCCTGCAAAAAAATATTTAGGCTACTCATGAAATTAGCTTTTAAATGAAGTGTCACTCTTTAAAATACATTACAATTTTTATCCGACTATATGGCGTTAAAATCAAAAGTAACGCAATCAACAGTCATATTACTGAATTCCCCATAAAGTGATCTGTCATTCTTGGTACTTACTATATTCAAATTGTATTGGATAGAGTGTCAGAGGAGAAGGGAATGACGTATGACAGTTGTGATATTTTGTTACAATTCTATGTTTTGAGATATTCAGGGTAGAGTTGGAATAAGTCATGAATTTTATAAAAAAATAGTAAAAAAGTCGACTTATTTTATTTATTTACTAAAACAAAATACAAAACACAACAATACATGCAATGTTTGTAAAACAAACTGAAAATGTTGATTGATTAAATATTAATTACGTAAGCAACTTATTATTTATTAAGAATCTTCATTAAAAAAATTATGATAAGTTGATTATGATAGTTGCGTTTGGGTCCAATAATGTCAAACTCCTTTCGAATCTAGTTGCGTTTGTATTTATCAAAAACATTTTCATAACTACGTTTGTGTTTTTACAAGTTTATTGTTTATTATCCTCAAAATATTACCAAATTTGATAGTGTTATTTGTTCATATTAAAAAAGTTTGAAGAACATCATTTGAATTAATTCACAAATAAAATCACTGAATTAATTCATATTCGTGCCAACTCTGATACAGAGGAATCTTTTTTAAATAATCACCTTCTATTTTCATGTATATTGTGTCATAGTATTGGTACAGTAGCAATGACATAAAAGTTATAGGGTTATTACTTAGACGTATTAGTAGTAGTGGTAGTAATAGAATAATCTTTTATAATGAAAAACACACACAAAACTATGATTCCAGAGAGATAAGATAACGTTTTAAATTGAGCCTTAAATAATTTAATATTATTTTTTTTATAGAGTGTCCCTCTTCAACAAACCAGTGATGTATCTATAATAGAAACTAGAATAGAAGATGGCAAATTATTGTACGAAAAGAGGTGGTATCATCGGGGGCAATCGATTTTTGTGGAAGGTAATGATCACCGATTTTTTACAGATCTAATAATTTATTGGTTACCTCTTGGGGCTAGAGCAGTTTGGGTCGAGTTATTGAGGCCAAACTTGGTGTATAGATGTATTATAATTATGAAAATCACTTAAAAACCCGCCCCCTCCTCCTAGCTAATATAGAGGGAGCGTTACCATCAAAAAATTAAAATTTTAAATTCTTTTGATATTTTTTATCTTGAACTCTCATAATTTGAATAAGGGGCCTGGAATTTAAAAATTGTTACAAAGGAAATAAAAATATATTTGGCATCTAAAGGGAAATGAAGGGGTGGCATGTTCGAAAGAAAGAGGGGCCGGATATTTAAAAATAGCTGCAAAGGAGATTAAAATATGATTTTTGACACATTTTTCATCAAGAGAGAGATGAAGGGGTGGCATGCTCGAAAGAAAAAAAGCTAAAATAATAAAAAAATGGAATCTACGACTTTTTTTATACATTCACAAGATTTAATTTTTTTTCAATAGGTATTAATTGTTTGTTTCAGGTCGTGATATGCCTAAATTCCCTGCAAATATTTCTGCAATTGGTAACGATGCCATTTGGGTGAAAAAATCGGACGGCGCGAAAGTTAGAATTTACACCTCGTATCTGGCACGGGGTAAAATTTCTATTAAGAGAAGAGCGTCTTGAAATTGGGAGGAAAGTAAATTTAATAGGTATTAAAAGATGGATTTTTTTTTTAATGAAAGATACATGATTCATTTAGATAAATATGTATTACTAATTTTAAGTGCAACTATCTGTGAAATATTGCTTTACAAGTAAATGGGGGGAGGGGGCAAGAGAATTTTACATAAATAAAAAGAAACATATTTTAAACAAAATCAAATTCTAAAAAAATAAAAATAAAAAATATTCATAAGTATATTATACATACTATAAATATAATATATATAAAACAGCATAAAAAAGAAATAAATGACATTTAAACTGGATTGCAAGTAAAAACATCGATAATAAATTATAATTCCATATTTCTCCTTACTTTTTGCTCATATGACACATTGTGTTATATATCTGATTCTGTTGACATAATTACTGTCACATTTAATTTTTCTTTGGACATTGTTGTTTTTTATTCGTTGAAGATAAGATAATCATCTCTCAGCAGAACAATCTATTGCAGGAATACATACAAAAAACATTCTTAAAGCAAAGTCAGTATTAGAATAAATATCTTTATCCACTGAAACATATTTTGTGGCTGAAACAACTGTTTTTACAAAGTCGTTTTAAAATAAGTTTCGTAATTTTTCATTACCCAAATTTGCTAAATTAATGAGAACAAGAAATCTCTGATTTAATTCGTTATAAGCTAAACGCTTTTTTAGTTCACTTATAAGATTTGCAATATTGCCACATTCATTACATTTCCGTTGTTCTTGAAATAACTGTTTGACTATTAAAAATATCAAAATTTATGTTAGATATAAAATGAGCTTTTTTTATATATACATTTTTTGTAAATGTGCTGCTCTCATGTTTTGCCGCTAAATGCACGTGTATACAGTGCCTATATTGGTAAATCCGGCTCTGTATGGACTAGATACCATCAACCGGGGTAAAGACGATAAAAAAAAATTTTTTTTGCTATAGCACCTAAACTGCTTGACTTTTTTGTGTTAAAATAAATATATAGGGTGGAAGTATAGGATGGAATAAATTCGATATTTTTCTCTCTTAACAGTATTTAACAAAATTGATTTTTATTTCCAACTGCGCGTCTTATGCTGACATCACCACTTTCATGTGTATGACGTCAAAGATTTTTTTTAAATGTGAACAACATATTTTATCTTCAATTTTGAATTTCCCAATAATAGACGATAACAAAAATGTATGTAATACTTATAATACAAGGTCATTGTTTTGAGAATTAGAGACAAATGTTATGTCAGAAATTTTGAATCTAATATTGTATTGAAAGGACCAAGTCAATGCATGTAAAAAAAATAAAACTATTAATTAAAACATACCGTATTTATTAGTCCAATCCACACTGTATAATATCATCCTTGATAACTAAATCACAAGATACCATAGTGAAGTATTAATAACGTAAAGTCGACTTTCAAGTAGGCTATGAGTAAAGTCGATTCCCGAAGAATTTATGCATTATTTAGCAATTTTCTAAAAAAACTTATTCTAAAAATAATAAGTTAGGGAAAACAATGCTGAAATTAAATTATAAAAATTATTCTAGGTCAAAAACGCTCGGGTAGAGTAAAAAATGTCTTTCTCTCTGTATACCTTTAATTTTTTGTACAATTTGATCTTTGGCAACCTCCGCCCAATTAGGAACGCAAAAGAGCGGCCCTTTTTATTTTTTATTCTGAGTGGTAATTATTATTGAAAATTGAAAAGTTCCTCTACGTGTCGTACATAAAATCTGTCTCGTTTGTTGGTTTTAAACTTTATTATTTCAAAATCATTTATCAACAATTCTTCCTTTGTTTAGCAGCGGCGTCCGTAGTTATTTTGGTTGTTTGTTGGTTGGTTGATGATTGGCCAATTTCGTAATCTCTCATATTTCTAATTTCTATGTATCCTTGATATTTTGGGCATCAGGGAAAGGCGAGAGAGATTAACTTTTCCGAAACAGGTCGATCATATACACGCAACAGATTCAAAAAACTGCACAGAAGAGCATGCGCGGTAATACATGTCGTTTTGACAAGTTGATTGCCTTTACCCCGACTGATCGACTTTCCCCCTGTTCAATAAAGAATCCGTAATATTTGTGGTATTTTAAATATTTTGGTTTTTCTTCTCGAGTAATACTATAATAAACTTCGGTGCTACAATTTTGGAGTGAGTGCAAACCTAGGGACCCTTAGTTATTGTTAAATCTGACAGTCTCCTCTTTAACAATAAAGAGGGTTATTTTTTTAATCACTCCCAAATATGTAACATTGAAGCATGTTATTTTGACGTCTGTAAAACCAGAACAAACCATGATGGTGTGGTGTTTAGAAATTAATTTTTTCAACCGGCCACTTCGATTTTTTGCTGATGGTTCTCAGTTTACAGTGAATCATTAGTGTGTCTTCCCAGTGAATCTTCGTATTTGAAGCTTTTTTGCTTCTAAAATGTACATAGTGGTGTTATTGCTAACTTTGATTTTCTAGCAGAACCCCAGCTACCAATTCCAAATTAGTGACTATTTTATTTCTTTAAATCCTTAGTAACTAAGATTTATTTAAAATGGGCATTTTTAAACATGGATTTTTGTTATATAATTTTTGTTATTTTTTTAGTGCCGTATGTCAATTTGATACCCATTTGCACGCTAGTCGGTAAGGAATAAAGAAGGCTTAAAATGGCATTTTCCAAAGCTTGGTTTATTTTTTAATGACTAGCGTTGCGAATGGGCTTTAGATTAACAACAAGTAGAATTCACAGAATGTACTTGCTGAATGGTGGAAAAAGTGCGAATATTAGATCCTAGTTTGGTTGCAGGAAAGTATTAAAAATCTTAGATAAATAATTAAAAATGCGCAAATTGTACTGAGTACAGAAATATTTATATTCCCTAATAATGTCTTGCAACTGATTATCTATTCTATGTAAAAATAAAACTTATAGGATAGGTATTAACATACATAGTATCTAAGTGACATTTTTTGTAAATAAATGACAATATATATTCTAATTCTTTTTTTTACCTATACTTCTACAATGTTAATTAATTTAAATCGTACGTCATTTTAAACCAGATTCCGAATGTTTAAATTGTTAAGACATCTTCAAGGATACATTATCTGTAATTATTATAGTAAAATGATTTTTTAATGTCTCTGACTATTTCAGTTTAATATCTGTAACGTCTATTAAAAATCCACTACAAATATCACAGCCCCTGATCTGATTGCAAAAAATGGCACTTCATTTTTTTTTGCTAGTTATTTGTAGTTGGGTACAGGAGAAGGGGTGAACAACGTGTACTAAGTCCCGGTGGTGGGAGCGGTCAGGTGACCTGTGAAATTCAAAGTAAAGTCGCTTATCTATATATTTTTCCTTTTTTTTTTGCCGGCAATGAAATATATCGGCACCTCAGAGGTAAGGTGTGTTAAGTCACATTATTCAGAGAAAAGAGTATTCTCCACTTATGTATTTGCCATACCAAATTCTATCTAGTGGAAAACAGATTTAACTCCCTAGTTGCATCATTTCGCCAAAAAATGACGGAACACTCGGCAAGTCGCAAACAAAGTATTGCAAATTTGGGGTTAATAATATGTCACATCAAAGTCAAAATTTTAGGACAAAGTAAAAAATTCTAACAAAAAATCGAAATAAATTGACCAAACAATTGACTTCTGCAAAGACTCGAATATTTATTAAATTCGCCGTTTCTTTACATTTTTTGTTAAAACAATAAGTGTCTCCTGACAAATGTAGATTTGGTGACTTAACACACCTTACCTCTGAGGGGCTGATATGCTTCTAGACGTCAATAACAATAAAAAAATTCCTTTGCAAAGCTTTTTTGTCGTCCGATTTTGCTACATCTTTCAACGAAATTCGGGATAAGCCAACAAACATTGAAATTGTGGCACGTTGTTGGTCCTTTAACGAATCTGATGGCAAAGTATTAAAATATCGATATTTGAAGGCTTACTATCGATATTTTTGAAATATCGATATATTCGCCCATCACTAACGTTTAAAGGCCGGTAACTTGCCAAAACAAAATGTTTGTTGGGAGGCATTTTTTGTCTGCGTAAGGGTTGATATGTAAAAATAAAATGTGTGACCTGGCGAAAAGTAACCTGTTTTTTAGAACTCTGCGCAAACGACTAGTCTGAAATACATTCTTATTCAGTCTTCATCTATTCTAGAGCATTCGTTCCCAAACTTTTCAGTTCGCGGCGCACTGACAGGTTTAATATTTTATCTAGGCGCGCACTAGGGTTGCCAGATTTTCGAAAAGAAAATTTCTAAACGAAAAAAGCAAGACTTTCTGTCGAGCTTCTAAAAAAACTTATATTTTTATAAACCAGAACGATGAGCTTCTAAAGCGTAATTACCTATTGGCGAGTGACCGACGCATGCAGCGGGATTTGAATTGTTTATTTTGTAGTCGCGAATACCTAAGTTTAGTCTCCTTACGGCGCGCCTGTTTACTCTATACGGCGCATCAGGGCGCCGCGGCGCACACTTTGGGAACCACTAATCTAGAGGATATTTATCACAAAAAACGCGATAATACTACACTTTTATTTTTTCCCCTTTAGAGCGTTCTGAAGAGCAGTATGTCTTGTCGTTGAAGACCACGCTCCCATGTTTTGCACTGCTTTCATTTCACGAGCGCTATAGGCCGAACTGATGGTTGTATTAAAATTTTTGAAGAACAATATATCGATGGCTCAATCAAATACTGCCACAACTAAAAATACTATTGTTTTGAGAAATTTCATTTAAATTTTTGTCTATATTAACTTTGCTTTGTTTTTGACAAAAAATCTTCATAATTTATTTAAAAGCTATAACATTTTACTGTTAAAATTAACAATTATGATTATAAAAGCGCTCTAACTCGAGTTATTGCGTAGTTTGTTAAAAATTTGGGTGTTTTTGGGAAAAATAACCCGAATTGTGTCAATTAAAAGAATGGCTAGCTCTTAAAA